TACAGGAAAATGATCGTTTTTCTTGGTTTTTATAGCATTTTCGAACCCAAAACCTCCAAAAAGTCAGTGTAACTATATTTGCTTTATATTTCCAACCCCCCAATTCCATCTATTTCTGAAAATTACAGCAAAAGCAAATGATGTATATTCCCTTTAAAATGAACACGTACTGCACGTCCTCCGTGTGAATGCACATAAAATTGAACAAAATTTGGCATATTTGGTGCTGTGTCACAATATTATCATATACAGGGCGAGTAAAGAAAAAAAGGAAACCCAAATGTCGGAACCATTGTTTAAGTGAAGTTCTGCATGTAGCACTTTCAAAATCTAGAATAATTATAAAAGCCCAATTCATAAGCTTTCTTTTAGTACAAAAATCATTCAAATCACTCATGTACTTTTCAAGTTATGGAATTTTAAACACAACCACCGTTTTAAAGTTCTGTCCACGGATCACACAAAAAAAACGTGCGTTCTTTCAGCAAAACGAAAACAATTCACACACATACGTATGTGATTTGTTTTCGTTTTGCTGAAAGAACACTTTCTTATTCTTTTACTCACCCTGTAGTATCGAATCAGCATTCATTTGACGTATTTTATTCTGTATACCGAAGATCATTTTTGCTATTCGATTGAGTGAGGCAAACGAGCGTGTTTTTCGGCACCTACTTGTTGAAACTACCCTTTTAAAACAAAACGTATCATAACGAATTCTTGAATTTATGAATACCAAGTGACAATCACACCAAACTTCATCAACATTTTGAATGAATTATGTACTCACACCCATACGGACAGGTGGTATTCTTGCAGCATTCACTGCCCTCGTGAATTAAAGAGGGTAAAAAACAAAACACAATAATTGACTTGTATCAAACATCGACGAGCCATAACTCATTAATGTTAATGGCTTTATACATTTCTAAACAAGCAAGCAGACACTTGGTCCAGATGTCGAGAACATCGGATACGCTGAGTTGGCAGTGATGATGCAAAATATGCGTATCAATTTGTATGGCGTTCCTATGCTTAATTCAAACAATGTGACTTTAATGGAGGACTCCTGTTTTTCAACTAGACTGCTTAATTTACGACAGCTTATTGTTTCAATAAGATGGAAACTAGTTACCAGACCTACTTGTTTACGAAATGATATTACATTTCAGCAGTAATATTCGGCGTGGAAAGCATATGGACTGCAGTCCCCGGATATCAAAACTGCTCGTAATCATTTGGGTGGACAATTCTTCACATAGAAGCCATATCTTTACCGTAGCTGTCATGCTTTAGTAAGCCTATTCCATCAAAAATCAAAAAGGCTGGATATGGTAAATATTTAACAAGTCTTCATAATATGCATGCAGTAAAAGATTACATCGGAATGTTTCAGACATTGTTAATTTTTCACTTCCTTGCTATCACGTTATTCAATACTTGAACCTTGGTCTCTTATATTTCGTCTACCGCATCTTGGGAAATCATCTAAATTTGCAACTTAATGTAGGCGACTGGTGCGGGTTTTCAGCAGACATCTCCGTAATGCAGCCATCAAGACCCTCGCCAGATATCACGTTGCAGTTAACCGTTCTTCTCTACTGTTCGGTTACCATGACAACCCTAATTGTATTCAAGGCACGGTCGCTACGCGGCTTATATATCCCCGACTCGGAGAGAACAGGCCAACGAGTCCTCCATTAGCCGCATGCGTTCTGTCAACACATTACGCTCATCATTACATTATGTTCTAGAAAGGATGCTGTAACAGCTGTTCATTAAGCTCTTCCGCTCAAAAACATTTTTAGCCTACAATAACGGTGAACATAAGAACCGAGGATGTAAAAGGTTCATTTGTAATCTAGAGTAAGTGGTTGATGGTGCACTTGTTGTTATAAATAGATGAAACGCAGAAGGCTTGAGTAAAACATTTACCAGACAATATGTTGTTACTTGTATAGAAGTACCATTTTGAGGTTGTAGAAAAAGGTTGCCAGACTCAAACGCATGTATTTTATTTTCGCTTGTTGGTCTAAATTTAGGCCCAAATTAACATGGCCATATGGTAGGTTCTTTTGCAGGTACGTACAATGTATTTGCACTGAAATCAAGCACAAAGCATTTATGTCTTCAACCAAATAAGAAAATACTTGCTAAACTTTAAAAATCCTATCAAGAATTGACTTGATCGTTTCCCTACACTGGTAAATGTAATACATGTTTGCCTCGGTATTAATGTTGTATACCGAGCAAGCATCAATGCGTACATAATAACAGACTTTATTCATGAGTCGGCCGAGACATATTAAAAAATTGAAAGCTCGGGAAACACTTCGTTCATGGAACTTGCGAGTAGAGATGTAAAATGAAATGAAAGCTCATTACAGACTAATACCAGTGTGCCCTAATGCATAATTTAAAATGTGTGATTAAACATACCCTAATGTTTTAAGTCACAGTTATAAACAACACTTGAAAGCGAGGCTTGGAACGCACTCCAATCATAAAATGGTCTGGTACCATCCCATTCACCAGTTTACAATTTATAAAATAGATTCAGGGAGCACGATCGGCGGATCGGGAAAAAAAGGCTTCCTCGTGAAAAAAAATGTTCCATTCGTGTATTTTTTTGCAAGGACAGGCCACTCTCTTTAACTGTTAGCCAATTACACTAAATAGCTTAATCTTTTGTATACGTGCGTGTGTGTGTGTGTTTGCACAAAGAGTAGTGATTTTCGTAATTCTGCCTTTTAAGTTTTTTTCCGATTATGCGATTAGATGTACATGAATAGAAATCCGTATGACACATACGGTTCATCGTCTTAATGTTATGTTAAACTCTCTGACTCCCTTTATAGTTATATACGACTGGGAGTGATTATATCATCAGCTATTAAGACAATTTCGAATTCCTAATGGTGTTTTCCCAAAGCCAATAAAGTGGTCTCTGAACCATTATGAAAATACCATCAATTACTAATTGTGTTTGTCCTTTGCGGGGCGTATTAATTTCTACTCCCGGTCCCACAAGCATTAGCCGCTCTCTATTGAATCTCATTAACAGCCAATCCAGTCATGTGCGATATCGATGCTATGGTGAATCACGGAGGACATGGCTGAACCTATTCATAGGAGGACCGCGTGGAAGCATTCAGTTGGTTTAAAGACCCATTATACCTCCGTGAGTTGGACGATGGTGGCGCTATAGGCCGATGAAAAAGATTATGCAACCTTAGTCCCAGGGCCCATTTCATGTCAACTTCAGTTTCAATATTAGACAGCACCAAATGGCAGCATACTGCTTGAACGCCACGGGAACGTGGTCGCAAATCGAAGACATTTCGCTGGTTGGCGCACTGTTTCGGGTGAGGCATGAATTGAAGATTTGACGGCCACCAGGGAAATACCGTCCAACGAGCAACTTCCCTGGTTGATGGACAGGTTGGAAGTTATGATCACGGCGAGCTCTAAATTAAAAACTTTTTGAAGAATCAACGAAATAATGGCACGAAGACTTATGACCCGGCAACAATTGACATTGCAGGAAATTGGAGTTTTCGAGACTTGTGTTCTACTGTATATGTGTCTCTTCATCCTTTGAGAGTGGAAGTCATACATCACTGTGACAGCACTCAGCTTTTGGCTTAATAATTGACCTATCGCTGTTTGCAAGTTAGCCACGCCCCTTAGACAATCCTATGGAGTGTTGTTCGTTAAGTTTTGTTTGTTTCAGAATTTGCGCGTTCCGCGTCCATATGTCATGTAAGTGGACATTTTGGACAACATTTCACAAGCTGCTTTGACGCGATTCTACCGCAACAGGTTAATTATTATGAGTCTGTTCAGTAAATGATGTTCCTATACCAAGTCACATTTGTCTCGCAGCAACGTATTGTCATTTAAAAGAACATAATTTGAGTACAAACCATCGATGACAGCTTGAAAGGCATGTCAATTGTTATGCATTCATGTTGTTATGCGTGGGCTGTCATTACGTGGCGCCGCTGTAACTCAAGTCCAAATGTACTGACACTAGCATGACAGCTGAACGTATGGCTCCTTCAAACTCAAAGATGGCGCCTTGAATTTCTATCATTCCTCATGCAATCAAGGTGTCGGTTTACTGACAACATTATAGACTCGACTTCGTGTTACGCCCCTGCGTAAGGCACCTCAACCTTCGCGCGCACTCTCAAATCGAATTTCCCCGACGGCGATTTCAATGGGAGGCTATAACATTGTTACATTCTGTACGGCCACGTCGTCGGCGTCAGCATCTCCGCTCCCGCGCAAATTAAACAGCCAATTAACGTCTGGCCTGACCTTCCCGGTGACGTAATCGAGTTAACGACTCAACAGCTAGCGTAGCTGTCATACTTAAAGGTCGCTTGTCTGTAAATTATGGCCCGTCGAGTCGAATGGACGGTATTCTTTTCACTGTGGGCGTGCATAATTCAGAGCGAGTCGTTGGTATACCTATGATCTTTTGAGTCTGCCCGCGGGAAGATTCGTCATGGAGCGGGCTACGCGGGAACTGATACACGATTGAAATTTATTTAACCTTGTCATAATACTCGTATAACGAGGGCTTAATTGTAAGAGTCAATTGTTTATGATGGAGTGTGTTGTTGCGGTACACAGAGGTGATAGTCATGAACAGCTTTCGTGCACCAAATCAACAGAGATCGAAGCAAATAATTTTGGAATTTACAGCTGAAACTCGAGGTTACTCGTATACAGCTTAAATTGCGAAGACCAGTTTTTCACACGATTATTAAATATGGATTACCTTAACAAATACTTAAATATGACTATACCTGCTGGTTGCTCTAGCTATCGTTGTATTATGCAGAGGGTATAGCATAATGTTTTACCCCTTGTAAATGACTGAGTGGATACGAATTGTTAATTAAAATAGGAAAAACTAATCTATTGTTCGTAATCATTATAAAAGCACCAAGCATTATCTCAATAATTGGTTGCTTGTACATTGGACTTACCGATGGAAAACCTGCTGAATAGATGAAAGCCAACCGTTTGTCTGGTGTCGTTTGGGAAAGAATGTAGTACCAGACGCCACTTCTTTGATTGTGTACAAAGTCTGTGGAGAGTCATAAACATTTTCATAAGTATTTCCTAAAAACAAATTGGAAATGTTTCTCAGTCCCAGGTTCTTGTATTTTCCAACATTTTTGCAATGACTGAACTTCATATATGAGATGATATATGATGAGAAAAGCGGCGTCAGGTTGCAACGTTCTTTCCATGGTTTGTATGTCAGTTCTCATTAATGAAATATTTAATTGCTTATCAACTGGTTTGCTATTTTTACAATTCCCAAGACGTTTCTAGGCGTGCATACCTTTACCTTTACCAATTTGCCCCAATCAATATAATTTAAGCAATTGTATGATATAAATATGCCCTGAAACCATCACACTTATCACACACGTGTTGAGCCACAATTTAACACATTATGGCCCCGTTTGCATAGGCATATTGCTCTTAACTTTACATGCAAGCTTAGAACACATGTACCAAATGTTGCAGATTTATAAGGCCCCTGTACAAAATTCCTACTCTGTTTTCACTGATAGACAAATCGGTGCTGATCATAGTCAGGAATAACCAATGTGAAATATACAGTCAGGAATAACCAATGTGAAATATACTGTGCATAGTCCTAATTTGTATGATGTTGAATCATTGATGCATCAACGATGGAGTCCGAATAGTATAATGCATGTATATTTCCCAGGCATAAAAGATAACTATCATGCTATGTGAATATAGGTACTTTAAGCTAAACGCTTCAATGAACGTGTACCAGACAAGGATACATACCTTTTACGCACAGGTTGTTTCACTGGTTGCAAAGCTCGTAGTTCCTCGCTCGATGGCGAGACAGACGTATCCAACCAAGCAAACCAGATGTTACATCCAGCACTGGGCGATAATAATGTTTAATGTATGGAGAGCTGTGTCACCATAGGGCCCCACTCCTCACCGCTGCTTCGTGCTTGCTATCTACCGTAGATAGTCCTTGGGCGATGAACGACAGCCGCGCATAGAGCTCGTATTGCTTTCGCGCCTCGCCAAATGCCCGTACCACGGTACAGTAGTAACGGATGCAAGCCTTCCTGAGCGCGGACTAGACGGTGTCCTGCGAGTACGAGTGTTCAATGGTGATGCACGCTGGGATGTGAGTCACATGACCTCCACACATGACACTATCAAATTGGCTGGCTGGATTATATATGCGATTTCCATGTCAATGAGCTTGCGTGTGGAGCTATTGAGGGAGCGCAGCGCACGGAGAGTTTGAGATCATTAAATCGCGTGTCTTGTAAAATGTGTAATTGCTAAGTCTATACATCGCGTTGGACGCTCATATCCGGTTTTTCACTCAAGCAAAGGTTGTTTTTTTTAGATAACATACGGAGCTACGAAGACGAGGGTGGGCACTTAAGGAACACGCTAAATTGACGGGGATAAACAGAAGGGGATTGGGCCCAACGACCGAGCAGAAATGAGATGAATTTTCAAGAGGGAGTGTTGTGGCGTTTCAGTGATGAATTGCAGGAGGGAAAAGATGATGATTCAGTCTCTTGAGTAATGGGAATTAATTAATCAGAAATGAGGTATTACGTCATCGTGTGTATTGTGAGGCAATAACAAGTACATCGAACATTCCACAATGTCATCTCGAATGTCGTCTCGATTTTCTTTCATAATTGTTCATGTTTTTCTTTGTTTATCTTGTCTCGTTCTTTTACTTCTCCTTTTACGTCTTTAAAGTTGTGTACGATTTTGTTTCAGTTCTTTTTATTGTCTTTTACGTATTTAAATTTGTGAATGATTTTTTTTCAGGTTTGCATTGCTTGAAGTGTTTTTTTCTCTTCATAAAAATCATAATATTTTATTTAATTTGGAAAAAACATCCGCCTAATCGCGTGTAAATAATTGTGAACTCACGTTGAAGAATGTATATATTAAAATAAATATCCACCCTATGACCTATTAATTAAGCACGCATGTTACTTTGATATAGTGCCTTTTTGTCCTTATGTGCGCCTGATTTCAATTGCACGAACTGATGCAGAATCGAGTCACTTAAATTCACAAGAGCCCACGTTAATGATTTTCCAAAGAGTAGATCATCAGGTTCTGGCACGAACGTCGCTCCCCATCAAGCCGTATCCCCAAGACGCCTCCATTATTTACGGCTTATTTTTCTTTCTCTCCTCGATGTGTTGGCTCTGTGCGATGAGGCGAGGCGGTGACCCGACCCGAGCTGTGATGAGCATGCTTAATGATTTCTACCGGGGAAGTGAAAGCCACAGAATGGTTTCCCCTCGCACGACGATTATGAAAAATATGCATTATTGTGTCACAGTATTGACCTATCGCCGTTTGCGAGTTAGCCACGCCCCTTAGACAACCATATGGAGTTTTTGTACATTAAGTTTTGTTGTCTCAGATTTTGCGCGTTCCGCGTCCATTTGTATATCATGCAATATTTCACAAGCTGCGTTGACGCGATTCTAACGCCATTCTACCGCGATAGGTCAATTGTATAAGGAATAGTAGGCCATATTTTATTCATGAGTCGTCCATATTTTATTCATGAGTTGGCCATATTAAACTGCAAGGTAAATTGTTCATTTTTGGAACATGCGAGTAGAAATGAAAGCAATGAAATCAAAGGTAATTACAAACAGTCTGCTCTGATGAAAAATTTGTTATTAAACATACCTTACTGTGTTTTAAGGCCCAAAAAAAATGAAAGTGAGGATTGGAACGCACTCCAATCATAAACTAGTCTGACACCATCCCATTCAACAGTTTACAACTTATAGAAAAGATTCAGGGAACGCGATCGAAAGATCGATAGAACTTGACTAGAAGTCGTCAAAACATATCACAATTTACATCTTGCTCTCATAAATAAATTTCCTGCTCAAAAACTGAAACACGTCCCCTGACGTCCACCGCCTTGTTGGTCCTTGGCGTTTGTCTTAAACGCATACAAGTCATATGCTGTGATGAGAGTGCAATGCAACGACAGGTGGCGCTATGCAAGTGCACGTGCCCGATAACGCGCCTCTTTTCCATAAAGTTGAATTTACTTGCAATTTAAAGAATCTACATGTACGAGTAGACAACTGCACCCGTTTTTTTTTACCAAAAAGCTCAACATGGCGATTAATGATTTAATTGTGTGACACCCCTACATAATCCCAAGCATTAAAACAACGAAGTGTAGCCTACGTAGGACCATAGAGAAAGGATAGTCCTAAGCTATACCTACAACTGAATGGACATGCACATTAAAAATCCAAGACAAGAACAAATGTTTATAGAATCATACCATCTCTAACTTGGAGCGTCTTGCTGACACTCAGAACGAGTACGTTTTAAAAACTATCGAAAATTGAAACTTTCACTTACCGTGAAGTCGATGAGGTGTGCCAAAACGAGGGGTAACATGGATAGTGGTAAGGCGCCCTCATGCGGCTGTGACGATACTTCACACAAGAATTCCTGGGGTAAAAAAAAATGTGAGTTGGATTGTCATCATGTATCGAAAAATAAGGTCGGTTAAAAATAACTATCATAATTAATACCCCACTTCGCCTAGTCATTTGTTTAAAAAAATAATAATCTGAAGAAGCATGGCTATCTACCCTAACTTAAATAGCCACGCCAGCTTGTCCGATCCTTTGGCCCGCATGTAAAACCCTTTTTAAGCTAAAAGGACGATAAAAGCCAAATCTGGCACAGAATTTCATGAATTTTAATTTCAAAGAGCGAAAAACTTACATAATTGTGTGATCGATATGTATTTGTTGAAGTAATGTTTCCCGCAAAGAGTTCCAACGCTATTATCCTATTCAAAGCGCAAACAAATGAGAATTTCAACTGCACTGTCCGAAATTTATCTCTGATATCATTATTATTTCCCCCAAATTTGGTAAGTATATATTTATTATATTCAAGTTCGGCTATAACTTGCGTAGAGAAGTGATGACGACCCAATGAGCTGCGGTTCATGTAAGACTGCCAAGTTTTCAGACGAGGGTCCGGCCTAAAAAACAGTATTTTTGATCTGACTTGTACCCCCCCCCCCCCCTCACTCCAAATAAGACAATCGAGAACACTCCAGATCTAATAACGTCTGCTCTGAAATTGGTCCTAAGTGCGCCCTCAATCGTCTGAGATCGCAGTACGCATCGCATGGGCAATTTGTCTGCATCAAACCGAATTCCGTTGAACACGACCAATCATTAATTTAATAAAGCACAGGCCTATATCAGTTTTACAGCCTTACGTTAATTTGATTTTCATCTGCTGTGTAATTCACTGGTCAGCATAAATAATCATTTTCTTTGAACTGTTTCACAAGAGTGAACATAGATCATTATACATGTTAGGCATAGGCCCTATGGTATTCTTCATCAACATGACATGTACTTTTGATTTGTACACTTTGGATCTTAAATTGACTCGATGGATAGAAACTGCCGTGAATGTTGGGCATTTATACCTTTTTGCATACATCTGGGACACTGACTGAAACTGTCCGCCAACAAGAGATGCCTAGGCTTTGGCAAAAATATTCCATGGCTAAATTTCATTCAAACAAATCATTCAAACAAACATGTTCGTTTCATCAATTTGAGAGTGTAATTTGATGACGCTCACTGTCGTCCGTATTTGAACGTGCTTTTCTAGGAACATGGATCACTGAATAAGGTTGCGATGACAGTTAAGACACCGATGGACTTCTCGCTTGTTCATCATTGTGACGTCGCTTATGCGTGACCGTTTAAAGGGCTTCTCTTTAGGCATATTTATATTAAAAAGCCCGCGGGGAAGAGTCTGCAATTATTTGGGCAATTTTTGGGACTGTCCGTCTACTGTCATTATTACATGAAGGGTGTTCGTTCATACATGTATCTTCAAGTCATAGTGCAATTTTCATTGTGAAAATTGTGAGCAATATTACTAGTTTGGCATGCGGTTTGATGACAAACTTGTTTTTTGATCTGATACACCGTACCCTCTGGAGACGTGTGTACAATAGGGAACAAAAGATTGTATAAGTCTCCGCAGGACAATTTCTGTAGATGAATACGTCTCCACAAGGTTTTCACGAAATAGATATATGGATTTTACTCAAAAACTAGGAATTTCCAAGCTATGTTGATCCGTCGCAAATGGAAGAGTTTTAGAAAAGGGATATTAAGTCCAAATTTCAGCCAAGGAAATTAACTCTGGTTAAAATAAGAGCATTTTTAAACTACACTTTCAAACTCGAAAACTTTAGTAGGCCTACGCGAGAACAAAGGAATGTCTCCACAAGGATACAATTTCCAGTATGTGTGTTTACCTTAAGATAACGTCTTGAGCTGTTCAAGTTCTTTATTGTTTCTCTAATTTCTAGTTTTATTTTCATAACTACGTTTGTTAAATTCTGTACCAGGTACCAATGTTTGTTCGCGTGTGTCTCTTGAAAATGGACGATTGTGATCGCTTTTGATGGTATACTTAAATAGTAAACCTCCTAAGTCGTCGTGCCGTTAAATGGGCCCCTTTGGGATTCCTCCTATTCCTTTATGCTTCACCAGTAGCTGTCGGCAGCCATCTTTAATATCGCAACTCACTAACTGATTAACTTTGCGGATGATAGATCGTTGTACATATTAACAAACGGAGTATCACGGGCTACGGATCGGTTGGGAAGACGCGATGGGGAGTTTTCTGCGGTCCCTCGGTGCGTTGGCTTCCGTTTACGGTACCAACGGCCGTGACTTGGTCCGGTGCTACCGGGACGAGAATGACTTCCGACTAAACGTGCAAGGTCGCTCATGCATCATGATGAAAACAAATGTCGAGGAAACAAATGTTGGAACCATTTACCACGTATCCATTAATTCGATCCATTCCAGTGCAATTAACTTGTACTAACATTCCATAGGCCTAATTATGATTGAGTTCTATGACCTCAATTATTGTTCGAAATTTGCGAAGTGTGCATGACCTGTAAAGACTAACTCCCTAGCATTTTTTACTAGGAACTGGACCAAGTCCATCAAAATCCATCAATCACTGTGCGTCCAATACAAAACTGTACATGACATAATGGAACCCACTACTGACGTACTGGTTGACATAGCTACACACGGCTTTTATAGAATTTCACATGTTATAAAGTGTTCAATAAAGTATATTCTAAATGGTTTATTCTTTACTTCACGAACTTTTTTTTAGCGAGCAATCAAGATAAATTTTGCTATATTATCGTATTATTTGTTATGCTTTATATGTAGCAATAAACCAAATGAATCAAGATGGCTATATTATACATTGCACCGAATAATGTGTGGCGGTCTGCTAGCAGTCCGAACTATTATAGCGAAGTATAGGCCTAAGAGCGAAATAAATAATGTGGCGATGCTCCGACTAACCACGCGGGCACATAAGGTGGCTATTGCGACGGGTTTTCGTGTTATGACCTGTCTCCAATTTCAAGTGCAACTTGGACACATCGTATCTAAAGTTACATTTGCCGTTATTCCGATAGTCCAATGTTGTTCCAGTAAAACACTTTACAACAGTTCTAATACCAGCCTAAGTGATTATAATGTAGATGTTTAGTTATTGAAACAACAAACACGGAAGGCAATAATCTGAAAGGAGGATCTACACCTTTCTGACGACCTTACTCAAACTTGCGTATTATTGACCAGATAACATGGTAGAAAGCAACTGGAGCACGCCGAACGCGGGTAATGTCAAACACGCATGCCGTGGCAACCAGTCTTCCGACACACCAAAACTCTCAAGTGAGCAATACTAGGACATAGCATTTTTTTTCTCTATTGACATGACTTCAAATCTTTAGCGACCAAAACGAGGCAAATAGCGGAAAGACCACATGCATGCACCGTGGTAACCATATTGCTTGGCGTGGTTGGTTACGCTCCACGTGGTGCGAGCAGAGCGCTATAATCATTAACTTTGTAGATAAGCTGGGACAGATTAAAGGGGTTTATAGGGCATTCAATTAATGATGTCAATAATACTACTGGTGCGCCACTTCTGAAACCGATACGACCTACATAGCCTTTAATTTGAAGTTACTATGGTCTGATGCTTGATTATATATACGAATCCTAGATCTTAGACAACTCAAGAGGCGCAAGAGGCATACCTCATCAGTCTTAACTGCCGTAAAGATCATCGTCTGATTCGAAGTTTAGACATTCTATATAGCATGATGCTATAGAATGTCATAATACGTAGGTCTAATGGTACCGTGACGAATGTGTTTATATATGAATCCCACATGTGGTCTAAACCATACCAACACATGGGGATGTTTTCACGCTTCATGACTTCAAACTGCGTAAGTCATGACGCCAACCACAATGTCTTAGCGGGAATTGCCTTCTCCGTCCTTGAGGTGCAAAACCTTCTTCCAATCACAACCGGCTGTGGGATTTATAAAAACCTCGCTTGAGTTCCAACTTTGGCTTCAATCCCCACCTTCATTATAATCCTGACTTCGGGGACTCACACACAATGTAGGTCCATTCCGTGCTCCGGAAACATAGAAGTAATAGTAAGGAAGCCAAATTTCACGGCATTTCCAATTTGTCTGATCGTAAAAGGCTTCTAAATCATTCCGAAGCTAGAGATGGACCGAATCCACATACGAAGCCGTGGTTTAGTAAACCCCATCCTATCTGCGAAGTTTAACCAGAAGCGCGCCACGCGCGGTCGACCAACCGTCTTACCGTTCTGCCTCCCCTCCCACATAATATGCAAGTAGCAAGATGTAATCAAGTGTTCCGTGTCTCATTATAGCAGAGACCTAAACCAGAGGAATACGATGAAGGGCTACAAGCGGGAGTAACATACTGCAACATGGACAAGGTAAGTTGCACCAGATTATGTTTCTGTATAGGAACGACTGTAAAATGTTAAAAGCTTTCTCCAATGAGCATTGGGCAGCAGACAAACGCTCGCTCCGGTAAGCAAATTGCGTAATCAACCTCTTAAATTTAGGCACTTGTAAGATGGTAATATTAACACCGTTTTGATAACGAATTTATTTAAAGAGATGTATCCATGTTGGAACAATTGAAACTGTTATTCAGGCTATGACGTCCAGGGTTTCGTTCATGGTCTACTGTTTGTCACACTTTTTAGAGACGCTCGTTTTTGTCGTTTGAAAAACAGCGATCAGTAGTAAACAAGATGTTGCATGATTCGTGCCACAAATTAATGACAAAAAAGATAATGGAAAACGCGCACATTGTTTTGGTGTTTTAGAAGTTAACAAAGAAACAGTGCTATATATGGACCCTATAGTTTTAATTGTTATGTTTTGGCAGCTCTGGTGCTATACACTTGAATCATACATCAAGACCAGTTAGGACATCACACCAAAGACCAAAATTTGATTTTTGCAAACAAAAAGGTGTGGAAATACTTGGAAACTCAGAAAAAAAGCTGTTCGGTGGAGCAGCGGTGAACAAATCCATTTTCCAAATTGTTACCGGCAAAGCGTGAAATCACATGTTTAATGTTTCGACAACATGGGCATTTTGGCGTCATTGCCAATACAACTCATTTGCTCTGGATTATGGTTATTTGAGTCGTTGATTACTGTGCCAGGACTAGCGGATTAACATGTGCGTAACAGAGACCTGTTCATATTCTGGATCACATCTACACAACATCAAATATTGCGAAATGAATTAGGAAAGGAAAATGTGGGTTTCGCCGATTCATTTTACTGGAACGGAGGTTGTTTTATTTTTAATGAGAACTTCATTTGTCAAAATGCTTCGACTTTGTTATGTGAGCTTCGCCGATCCATTTTACTGAAACGGAGGTTGTTTTATTTTTAATGAGAACTTCATTTGTCAAAATGCTTCGACTTTGTTATGCCAGTTTGGGTATACTGAAGAGCTATACAATATTTGTTTTATGTGTTGTCTTGTATATGCTTTGGCTGTATTGCAAACATAATGGCGACACACGGTGCGTCAGGAATGAATATCCCGACAAAAGATGTCAAACTTGATATCTAAGCAGTTCGCTTAAACACTATCCTTAAGGATCAATTTTGGTTGCACATTTAGGAGGTTTGAAACTGTTTATTTCTGTATAGGCATTACGTTATCATTTTTTTCCGCACCACATTTTAGACGATTTGCCCAAAGAATAATGCGACCACTTTTTAAACATGAATTCCTGGGTGTTTGTTTGTCTTTCCCCCTGTTTTTTTCTTCTTCTTCTTATTTTATTGGTGGCAAACACTTTTCGAAAATCGATGCCGTTTCTAAGTCTTATCTTATAAACTATATTTTCCTCTGTGTTTGCGTAGGCCTATGATTGGAAGCGCTGGATTGAGCATGAAACAATCGGTCCAACATGTTTCTTGCTTGTCAAACAAAAAATAAAGTCTGCACGGTCAGGAACAATTTACGATGAAGACGATAATCCACTTGGGAAAGAAGCCAATATTCTTCCGTTTACACCCACTCAACCTTGAATAACCTCGTGACATTTTGCTATATAACAGATGAAAACGATCTTTAATTATGCAGAACTCGCCTGGACATATGAAAAACCATTGTTGATGGTTGCGCATGATTTCATTACTATCACAGATCATAAACTAGGTGTCCTTGGTGTATGTACGTCAATAACATAAGCAAGCGGCAGATGAGATTTACGGATTTCAAACGCCAGCATGAGGATATAAATTAAATACATTTATTTACTGTTGTGGTAATTAATGGAGGCTGCTTTCACCTACGTAATTTAATAACACTATACACTCATTGTGCGAAAGCTTGCAAAACAAATATCTCAAGCTTGCAAGATAAATACTCAAGCTTGCAAGATAAATATCTCAAGCTTGCACGGTTGGGACTCGAACCCACCACCTCCTGCTTAAGCTTGCAAGATAAATGTCTCAAGCTTACAAGATAAATATCTCAAGCTTGCAAGATAAATATCTCAAGCTTGCAAGATAAATATCTCAAGCTTGCAAGATAAATACTCAAGCTTGCGCGGTTGGGACTCGAACCCACGACCTCCTGCTTACTAGTGCGAACGTTTACATACGTCATCTGACTGGCTGGCTTGCTCCGATTAATCGATTGTGTGATCAAACTTGATATGATAATTGTAAGATGAAACTTGACGTCGTTATGTGATTAATGATTAAACTTTTTTTCTCACGAGTAAGCAAATAGGTTTGAATAAACAAAATGAGGTCGGCCACTAATTGGGAAATCCATTAAAATACTGCAAGTAATTTGAGAGCATTTAAATGTATCCGCTCTTCAGTATAAACAAGTGATATTTTAACTTGCAGTGAAACTTGCACTGACCGGTTTGTTACCGTTAACCCCGGAGCTAAAATTTAACTTCAATTTTATATTTTTGTTACTGTAGAAATCGTGGTGTATATTTTAACATCGCAGTTTTTGATATTTTTATTTCAAAAAACTTTAACCAGCTTCAAAGGAGACCAGTAATTGTACATTGTGAAATTAAAAATGTAACTTCTACTGTTAGAATATTTGACTACCAGTTAGTCTTAACTTAATAATATAAACTCACACTCCTTTAAAGGTACGAATAATCAGCGATAAAAATTATTGTATTTGTTTATTAATTATATTTACTTCTAAGTTATTAATATTTTCTATTAAACATTGGTTATAAAATTGTTCATTTTAATCACTTCAAAAATCCAATTGAAGCTTAGTCGTTGCTTGCATTTCTTATACCACCTTAACAGTCACTTTGGACATAGTAATATCGCACAAAGAGTTGTCCCGAACGTCGTTTTACCTAAAGATATGTATACGAAATGAGATATGTAGGTATCTGTTTTTCTCTTCTAATTGTTAATTAGTCGCAAACCTGCGGTTTTTCGTTGAAACAAAATATCTGCGTTCCATTGTTAATATCAGATTGGCTGGTTATGTGAATGTGGATTATTTTCAAGAGGTGAAGAAAAGCTGTGCTTGATGGTATGTGTAGGTAATTACCATGATGAGGTTTCGTTTACTTATATACCCCATTTGATATTTGTTCAATTCACTGTAGTTTGTTTATTATATGTTTCTATTTTCAATGGATATTCCTGATGCCGATGCTATGATCGTCGCGCCGTATGATACATTTATGTTTGACACTATACTTTTATGCTATTTTCCCTTTTCACAGAGGCCAAGTTCCCCGCAACCTAACCAAGTTCATCAAATCGTCGAAAAGGGTGCACAAATTAAAAGGTATGTTTTGGCGTCTTTTTTGGTCAGATTTCATATATTAATTGATAATGGGGAAAGCACCATTTCATGGCGATCATTCTTTCTTGGGATTGCTTTCTCTCTGCAAAGGGCCCATGTACCCTATAGTGTAATTGTTTTAAAGCAATCCTTTGAAATTCAACTTTGTGTCCCATGTAATCTTATTCTCAATTTTCGTTTTGCCATTTAAATGGTATTTTGGTGCCTTTTTGGTTTTTATGCTAATGACATGTTCTATCTTTAGGAGCAATAGTGTGATGTCCTTTCAGGCAGAAACCTCTATGTTACGTTCATAAGATGGAATTTTGTGTCGGAGTGATGTAACTCAACTATGTTTTGCCTTTCAACGACGTATACACACTGTATACTCAGTGTGTTACCTCACGAGTGAAACTTGGAAAAAAATCACTCGGGTGGGACTCGAACCCACGACCTCTTGCTTTCCAGTGCAGACGTCTTACCACTATGTTACAGCTATTTCAGTACAAAAAGTTACCAGAATGTCGGATATTTAGCTGTTTTGTCAGTATATGGCAGTAAGCCAGTGGGAGAATCTTTCTCACAAATGTTTTCAATGAGCAGGTTTTGGGGTTCATATTTGAACAGAAACCCCCTAAGCTGAACAGTGTCTTCCTGAAATCACATCACAGGAACAGAGCCCCCAGTGGTCCGGAAACGGAAGGATTTTTTTTATTGTTTAAAGAAGTGCACTTTTCAATAAAATTAACCCCAAAAAAGAAATGTCAAATAGTTTTCATACATTTAAGAGGAGTAGAAAGTTGCACAAAATGTGTTCCTCAGAAAAACAAAATCATTAATTTTGTATTAAATCATTAAAAGTTTTGTGCACAAATCTGTGGGAATGTCTCACTAAGGTACAATTTTCGTTGATTTGTTACAATTGCTACACAAAACAGTGTTATTATTACACCAAGCATTGTCATTATAACACCATAGGTATTTTGCGCACCAAACAGGTTGTGCACGATGCAGATATTATAATTACACTGAACCTGCACGCCATATCTAATTCAAACACATCTTTCGTACGGCATTATTTTTTTTTTTACTCCCAGGTACATTTCAGATATCTTGGGCGAGAGACTATTAACCATGCAGGGGCGACCGCCTGCCCACTTCAGCACTACCTACAAGACCCGGGAAGACAGCAAAAACACCGTGGACTTGACTGAGAAAACCTGCAACCGGATTCTCTTAGCGTGTGGCATGACGCTGGTCATGCTGGTCATCGGCGCGTCGCTGGTTGGCGGCATACTGCTGGCAGTCGTGAAATTGGGTATAAGCTTTTTACTTTTATCTATATGTTTTCTTCAAATAAATCACAAAGGGGAACTGACTAGGTACATTATAAAACTTGAACAAAGAAGTTGAATGGAGCGGGGTTTGAACCGTCGACCTCCGGATTGCCGTTCCGGTGCTGTATACAAACTGAGTCAATCTCAGCAAGGTAAGTTTGCGGAAACGTTTGAGTCAATATCTACATTCAATTTCTTCGTTTTACTTTTAAATGATCTTCTCTTTTCTTTTTCTTTTTGGGTTGGAAAAACGAGATTAGTCAAAGTCAAGTGCAGCTCTCTAGCGGATGACATTGTTTACAATCTGCTATGATTTAACTTCTGGTTTTGCTTAATAAGCCTATTTTGTTCAATACTCAAACAAATGAATATTAAGACGAAAAAGTAAAAGATCAGTAGTCATAAATTATGACTTTGTACTCTGCTGCGCAGTTTCAAAAATCAATCTTACAAACTGGCAGGATAATCGATAAAATATGATTCAACTGTTACTTCGAAGCGCCATTATTTTGATCTGGAATTTTTAAAGGTTTATTAATAGAATTGTTTAATTTTTTTTTTCTGTGATTTTTTTTTTCAAATGTGCCATTTTATCATAGTAGATGCTGCAGAAGACACGGTAACAGTTGCTGGTGAGCACAATATTTATTTTTTTATTTATCTAATGAATAAATAACACTGTTTAAATATAAGAATCTACACATAATTGAGAAATACATTTATTTGAAAATAACATGCACGTATGACATTAAGAAAACAAGTTGACAAACGAATTTGCTGGAATTCTCCCCGCTATTCTGACAGCCCTCAACCTAAATATAAACTGCCCGAGGGATATCGTCACGAGGGCCGAGCCAGGCGGACGACACGCTGTAGTTTCATGGGAGAAACCGGAGCTTGAGACGGTACCGAGCAACGCCAACACGTCCGCCGTGATATTCGAGAGCAACTACGAGCCCAACACGTCCTTCGGCATCGGAGACCACGAAGTCATTTATACTGTTACAGACTCCGAGGACAACCAAGAGACTTGCTCCTTTAAAGTGAAAGTCAGAGGTAGGCAACACTGGTCGCTTATTTTTTAAAGAACCACTTTAAATCATTTCAATTTAGACTTAGTTCACGAAATCACGAGTTAGCCATATTAAATTGAGAGCGAGGTAATTTCTTCATTCGTGGAACTTGGAGTAAAATGAAAGCAATGAAATAAAAGTTCATTACAAATTAATACCCGTCTGCTCTGATTGAATAGGCTAAATTTTGTGATTCAATACCCTAATGTTTTAAGCCACAATTAGAAGAATACAAATGGAAGTAAGGCTTGGAACGTACTCAAATCATAAAATAGTCCGGCACCATCGCATTCAACAGTTTTCACAATTTATAAAAGAGATCACGGAACACGATCGAAAATGTCTCCCTCATGAATAAGGTCTATACCAAAGTTTAAGCCTTTCCAATGAATGTGCACGGTATTCGTTTCAATAAAAGTGGCATTCAGTGGATATTGTTGCGGCAAAGTTCCTATAGTATTTTCGATGAACAAGTGAAAGTTTAATACTTTATATTCTTATTTAAATTCGAGGAATCAGGACTGTTTAAAAGCACGTTCAGTCATCTGTCTTCACCCTCAACAGATAAAGAAGGGCCGGTGTTTGTGAGCTGCCCCCAAAACATCAAGATCGTTACAGGCGAAAGTGACGGAAGTTTCCCTGACCCAACGTGGGATACGCCAAAGGCTGCAGACAATGCCGGCCAGCCGAGAATCACGACAAACTACGGCGGAAGCCGAGCGTTCGAGCTCGGTACCACGGTGATTCGTTACACGGCAACCGATGCTGCCGGGAACGTCGCAAGATGCGTATTCCACGTCACAATCATAGGTAAAAGTCAGGGGTTTTTTTTGCCCATTGTCTGAAAATAACCATTGAAGCAAAAGCAAGTGTTGTACATTCCCTTTAACACTGACGTTTTTTGCAAACTTTGCAGTTTAGGGACTGCACTGCAAAACCCAAGAGGATCGAGATAAATGGGTCAATTATCAATGTACGACAAACATAGTTTTTGATTTGTCACTTAGAAGCAACTTGAAGAAATTTGCTTCAAGGTGCTGCACAGAAAAACAGGAAATTGTTACGCGTGCTCGTTGGTCGGCGTTCAGTCTCGATCTCACTAATCTCCCGCCCCGGTTATATTTCAGTTCCGCTTTTCTGTTGCCAATTATATGGTTCTGGCGATTCACTTGCACTCAGCTATAAACAGGTGCTTGCATTCATTAATTACCCTGAAATACCTCGACCTCTTTTCCAAACGCATGTTTTCAGGGACCTCATTTTCCACTGTGATAACTTTGTGACAACATTAATGCACGCGTTTGTACCTCTTTATTTAAACCAGCGAACTTGGGTTGATTTTGCTTGAATTCGAATGTCTTGAATAGTTTACAGTACCGGTACTGACTGTATAATGGACACACGATTTGAAGATACAAACATAATTATGATTAACAACATTATTAAAGTGTTATCTGTGTCTTCGCCCAGATGGTACACCGCCGGTCATTCTAGGTTGTCCAGATGACATCACCGGCACCACGGGTCGACCCGAATGGAGACAACCTACGGCAGTGGACAACGGGCAGCTGGTCAGTTTTGAGTCCGACTGGACACCGGGAGATACCTTCCCACAGGGCCGCACGAGGGTTACGTACGTGGCCGAGGATTCGGTGGGACTGAAAGCCGAATGCAGTTTTGTTGTTGCAGTAGTAGGTGAGAATGGACCGAACCATTAAGCCCCGCCCCCATGTTTAATCAATCACAGTCGATATAAATGTCTGACATACCTGAGAATAGGTCGATCCATTAAGCCCCGCCCCCATGTTTAACCGATCACAGTCGTGATTAATGTCTGTCTGAGAAACTGAGTTCTGAGAATAGATCGAACCATTAAGCCCTGTCCCCATGTTTAACCAATCACAGTCATGATGTCTAACATGCCTAAGATAGGTCGATCCATTAAGCCCCGCCCCCATGTTTAACCGATCACAGTCGTGATGAATGTCTGTCTGAGAAACTGAGTTCTGAGAATAGATCGAACTATTAAGCCCTGTCCCCATGTTTAACCAATCACAGTCATGATGTCTAACATGCCTAAGATAGGTCGATCCATTAAGCCGCGCCCCCATGTTAGTTTAACCAATCACAGTCGTGATTAATGTCTGACATATCCGAGAATAGGTCGATCCACTAAGCCCCGCCCCCATGTTTAACCAATCACAGTCGTGATTAATGTCTGGCATGCCTGAGAATAGGTCCATCCATTAAGCCCCGCCCCCATGTTTAACCAATCACAGTCGTGATTAATGTCTGACATGCCTGAGAAATTGAGAATAGGTCGATCCATTAAGCCCCGCCCCATGATATATTGACCAATCACAGTCGTGATTAATGCCCGACATGCGTACCCGCGTGCAGGAATGTCCGACATGACGCGTATGACTTGCGTATAGTCTGAAATCTTCACCTTTTATATATAAACAAAATATTTTGTCTGACAATAGGAAGTGCATGCACAAAAGAGTTTGGAAAGATTTCCATATAAGAAGTTCACTCAACACTCTGTGTACCATCCCTATGAGAGTGGACTGAAAAATTCTAAGTGTTTTCTAAGAAAATGCTTGTATTTTCTCACTGCTCAAATTGACTTTGATGACATGAAATTGCGATCTGGGGGCTTGTTAGTCAATACAGAGGAAAATTAGTGAACTTCGCATATGGTAATCTTGCCAAGAGGTTCGAATCACCCTGCACCTAAATATTGTTAATTTGATGTTTAGTATGTGTATACTATACTTTTCTATTTACACGTCTTTAATGTTATCTACAACATTGTGCATATTGTAAAGAATTGAAACTTTGTAATAAATGTTGTAATTCAAAATTCAAAACAACAATTTTTTTTTAAGATACGGAAGCTCCAGTTTTCACCTACTGTCCGACAAACATTACGGTCACGACCGACGAACACGGTATATTCAAGGTACCCACCTGGCAGACCCCGCGGGCGACTGACAGCTCTGGGCCCCCTCGCATCACCGCCAATCAGGGTGAAGCAGAGTACCACCTGGGCCGGCCCAACGAAATGGTGTACGTGGCTACTGATTCGTTTGGCAATAATGCGAGATGTAGCTTTTATGTGACGGTGAAAGGTGAGTAAGGCCAAAAAGAAAACATGTTTAGCGTCCTGTTTAGCGGGAGTCAAACCATTAATTTGGTTTACTTCCGTTAAAAAAAAAACAGCAACGGCGAAAAAAATTAAAGGGGTCCTAAAACTAACTAACGCCAGTATAACTGTAATACACTTCACAGCACTGTAATTCGTTTGTAGCAGTTCACATGCAAAAGAAGAGCTCAGCTACATACCTGAAGTAAATCCTCTAAGTTACTTGGATACCGCCGCAAAAGATGCCACTGTATTCCAATGCATTGTAGTGTTTAACCATTTCTCCATGGTTTAAGTAGGTTGTAATACACGTTGTAATTACACGTTGTAATCCACCACACTGACACATTGAAAGACTGACCCCAAATTCCAGCTTTTTCGTTCAAGAATTAAGTTCCTGGAGCACATGCATTGAGGTATATTCCGGGTGGTCTTTCGTGGTTTATATTGTGCCAAGAGTCCAGGTGCAATAGTTGTCGAATTCCCGCATGAAATCTGCCCGATTCTCCGTTGAAAAATGGAGACCACAGTTCACAGTTCATGGACGACAGCAAGTATATCTTGTTCCTCGCCTTATCTCAGTGGATTATGTATGCGAACAAAATTGGCAGTAAGTTGACCAGCTTGGTTAAACAACCTAATCAAACTACACATACAGGGTATATTCATCCGCTTTTTTATATGAGTATCGTAAGACTAAAAAAAACAATTTGTATTCTGTAAACTTTTTTTTGTTGTTGAAAGTATTTTAATTCTTCAGAATAAAACACACTGACACGCTGATTCACTTTGAAACGAAAAAGACTGCGCGCTTAGAACTACTTAATCACTTGTCTTGTCACGCACGTCTATGTGTCCATCCACCGCTATAGAAAAACAATTGACCAATCAGCGTAGACATTTCCATCTGTTCCATTGCCAGCGATTGGGCGCATTTGGTCAACAGGAGCAAGTCGCCTGATTTTGTTTCGCAAGTAAAACAATGGCTCGTGAATGGTCAGCTGAAGTTTGCTGGGCGCCGCCATCTTGCAAGCAGACGTACGTGTTTATATGTGAACTGTTGTTTTAGTGGACGGCAGTCAATGACTGAGTGGAAATAAGGGACTTCGTGTTAAAAAAAACCCTCAAATTAATTTTCTCCTCTGTTTCTGCAACTTCTCCGAACTTCTTCAGACGGCACCCCACCAACTATCCACGGCTGCCCGTCCGATATCTCACAGCCAACTGACAGAGGGGTGCCCACTGCTCATGTCTACTGGAGCCCGCCCACATCGAGGGACAACGGCGAGATAGTGGATTTCAACTCCAACCAACTACCTGGGGACACTTTCTCACTAGGCGCCACGAAAGTCGTGTATACTGCAGTGGATTCGGCAGGATTGAGTACTGAATGCAGTTTTACTGTTACAATAAGAGGTAATTATTTTATATAATGCACTTAACTAATTCCGGGCTATCCTCATAATGGGCGTGGCCACAATATGTTCTTGGGAGGGGGAGCTTCTGAGCCGCTGTTACAAAGGGGATACAACTATTTCCTTAATTTTTTTTTCAGACTTTTTTTTTTTTGAGACATGAACTTAGAAGAAAACTGGTTTGATTGAGATCAGCTGATAACATGCACTGCCTATAAAATAATGAAGTATTTCATAAATTTATACAATTTGTTCATGGGATGTAATTTTACTTTTGTATATTTTTGTTAATAAAAGTGCTCAGAAAAAGGCATGACTTTCTAATACAAGTACATGTACAAGTAAATTATCCCATATCTTATGACAAAATTTGTAAGGTGAAAAATGCCATGATGCCATGAGTATTAACCAAAAAAATCCTTGCCTTACAAAAGTGGAAATTGTTTTGGTCCGCTTTTTGGACAACCAATCTTCTAACCATGCAATTACTCCAACAGATCTAGAGGCACCCAAATTCACGTTCTGCCCGTCAAATATCGAAAAGAATACCGACCAAGACGGCAACTTTGACCCGCCCACCTGGCCGGTTCCCATAGCGACTGACAACACCGGGCTGCCACAAGTCTCGACAACTTACAAGGTTGGAGAGTTTCGGCTGGGTGTGAAAACGTCAGTGAAATACACAGCTACAGATGCGTCTGGCAATAATGCAACGTGCCTGTTTTATGCCACAGTAGTAGGTAAGAAGTGCATCAGAATTTAAGATTGTGGCACAGTTTTCCCCTGTGTTTTTTTTCTACTTAATAATCATCCCTTGTTAAATTAATAGAGTTTTAAGCAATAGTGAATTTAACTACTGGCAGGCTTTCAAGTATGTCTACTTTTTCCTAGTTTTTTTGTTGTTAACTTTGCTTCTACTTTTTCCTACTTTTTTCGTACAACTTTTTTTTCTTTTTTCGTTGAATATGTTTTATAACAGTGTTAGCCTAAACACTGTCATTATGTAAACCACACAATGAAGGGCTTGGGTGCAGGAATACTGCAACTGTACTTCCAAGAGCTTAGTTGAGGATGGAGCACAAGTGTTGTGAGTACAAAACATGCCAAATGAGGCTAATGATTATGTGGACATGGGTAAGTATCAACGGAAACTCGCAAAAGTCCCACTTTTATCATAATTTTGTTCTCCAAAGTCCTCCTTTTGTGCTATTTTTTTTGGGAAAATTTTGTTCCTACTGTTCTACTTTTTCACCTGGGTCTGCTTGAAAGCCTGTACTGGGATTTTCTTGAAGTTTAGTATATATTCCTTCCATAACAGTGTCCAGATTTTTAAATTGGCGAAGGCCTGATTTTCCCTTAAAATACTCGGGACTTTGTAGAAAAAAATTTCAACAAGGGAGAAAATTAGTTGTCGTGGGAGAAAACCGCACCCTATAAAGTGACTGGAAGCTGAGACACTAGTAGATACTATTAAAGGTAAAAGAATTACCCCCGCCCCAAGAACAAAAATATCACTGCCCCGAACAGGCAGGACATTTTAAGAAGGTTGTTCTCCTATCTCACTAATTGACCGACTATCCATTGTGAGTTAAACTTGCTTATAAAATATAGTCTCAGCTTGCCCTGTTTGTTCATCATTTATGATGGAAATTTCAAAATTTACTATTTTAGATCAGACACCACCAGTCATCAGTGACTGCCCCACAGACATCACCATCACCGCAGACCCCAACGCCCTGACTGGGCGTGGCAACTGGACCGCGCCCACAGCCACTGACAATGGGGTCCAGGTCACCTTGACATCCGACGCAGAGCCAGGTGATGGGTTCCGCATTGGCAGAACAAGGGTGACGTACACTGCTGTGGATAACGCAGGGCTGATGGCAAATTGTCATTTTACTGTGACTGTTCTAGGTAAGACTAGAAGCCATCTCTTTAAGAATTCCACATCAAATGTCCCTAGTCTGAGACTGGGCGGGGCAACTGGACCACACCCACATTTACATTCTCTTGTGTGTGTTTATATTTTGCCTGGCTGACTGCAGAAACAGACAGAGTGTGTAACACGTTTTCCAAGAAACTTTTAAACCTAGTGATAATAAATAATAATAATGTGCAATGCTTGGGAGGTCTCAAAGCACTTCACAATTATTACCCCTGTTCTAACAGGCAAGGAGATCACTTTTGTGCAGACGAGATCAGCGCAATCTGGTCTCTGTCCTCACTGGTACCATACTCCTGGGTGGAGAGAAGCAATTGAAGTAAAGTGTCTTGCCCAAGGGTACAAGCACCATGTTCCCCATCAGGGTTTGAACCCATGTAACACGGTGCATGGTCAAACATCTTGACCTTTTGCCCAAATTACATCTTGAGTTGTCTTACAAACAACAAAGCACCAGTTTTTACCACCTACCACGGCAGACATTTTCCAGACCACGGACGCTTCAGTCAAGCACACCTACCCAATCTGAATGTCTGCCAATGAAAATAAAGATGTTCGTGTTAAAAAAACAATTCTTTTTATACACTGCTTTTGCCACTTCTCCAAACTTCTTCAGATGGGACCCCGCCAACTATCCATGGCTGCCCGTCCGATATCACACAGCCAACGGACAGAAGAGTGCCCACTGCTCGTGTATTCTGGAGTCCGCCCACAGCACGGGACAACTGGGAACTAGCGGATTTCAACTCCAATCAACTACCCGGGGATATTTTCTCACTGGGCTCCACAACAGTCGTGTATACTGCAGTGGATTCTGCAGGATTGAGTTCTGAATGCAGTTTCACTGTTACAATAAGAGGTGATTCTTTTGTAATGTACTTAACACCATACTATCCTTATTTAAACACACCCTGATTTGATGTCTCACTATTGTTTGTTTCTCTCCATTGCTTTGAACGAATGGAGCTTGGCGCGCCATTCAGCATCTACCGAATGGCGTCCTGCACGCATAATTTTTCCCGTACATGGGTGAAGCCATGCACATACAGTAATTTCATCGAAATTTTTTTGTCCGCTTTTCAAACAACCAATCATGCAATTCCTCAAACAGATCTAGAAGCGCCCAAATTCACGTTCTGCCCGTCAAATATCGAAAAGAATACTGACCAAGATGGCAACTTTGACCCGCCCACCTGGCCGGTTCCCATAGCAACTGACAACACCGGACAGCCACAAGTCACAGCATACAAGTTTGGAGAGTTTCTACTGGGTGTGAAAACGTCAGTGAAATACACCGCTACAGATGCGTCCAGCAATAATGCAACGTGCCTGTTTTATGTAACAATAATAGGTAAGAGGTGTGTCAGTGTGGCAGAGGGGGCATAGTAGCTATTGTGTGTGGTTATTAGTCTCATAGTTAGACTGGGGTCTTCATTAAAACACTTCAGCATTCTCTGATGCTTCACTGGAGTCAGGCTAGATCCCTAGTTTAACATTTTGTTAAATCACGTTTCATCCCGGCCCCACTTTTTTCCCTTTAATTCTGTGATAGTGCTGTCCATAGTGCTGTCCATTTTTGCCTAACTAACCAATATATGAGCAATAAACATTTATCTGCGAATGTCTTTTTTTTCATCTTTTAATAGATGGGACTCCACCAGTGATCAGCAACTGCCCAATGGACATCACCATCACTGCCGACGCCCATGCCCCGACTGGGCGTGGCAACTGGACCGCGCCCACAGCCACTGACAATGGGGTCCAGGTCACTTTGACGTCCAACGCAGAACCGGGCGATGGGTTTCGCATCGGCAGAACAAGGGTGACGTACACCGCTGTGGATAACGCCGGGCTGACGACAAATTGTCATTTCACCGTGACTGTTCTAGGTAAGACAGAAACAGTCTGTTTAATTTAAAACAAATGAATTTTTATTTTGCTCGAAAAATTCAAAATTTTTTTCATTTATTGAGTGTTTTTAATCTGTTTTTTGTTTGTTTTTAGTTCACAGTTGACCATCCTCGTAACTTTTAGCCAGTGTCTGGGAGCTTGAAATTAATGAATTTAATTGAAAGTGCCACCATTTCACAACCAGATCTGGTGCTCCAACTTTTAAAAACATTGTTACTGATAAAGAAAAACCTGTGAGACAAGTTTTATATAAATCCTATATCTAGCCTAAACCAAAACCTGGATATACTTTTTTTGTTCACATGAATACTTTAATTGACCCCCTTTCCAGACAACGAAGCACCAGTATTCACCGACTGCCCGGCGGACATTTTCCGGACCACAGACGCTTCAGGCAAGTACGCCTACCCAATCTGGCAGACTCCGCAGGCCGTGGATAACTCAGGCGACCCGCCGGAGGTCGCCACTACACACAGGTTTCAGATGTATGGGCTTAACTCCCGCACGCGCATCGAGTACACCGCGACCGACGCATCTGGAAACAATGCGACATGCGTCTTCTATGTTTCAGTCACAGGCAAGTCAGAAAACCCTTTTGGAGTAGCAAAGCATTGAGCTCGTGGTCTGTGGGTCATTCTGCGGGTTGTGGGTTCGAGTCCAGCCTGGGGTCATGGTGCGTGTGCCCTTGGGCAAGGCACTTTGTCACTCATTGCTTCTCCCCACCCAGGAGTAAATGGGTACCTGCGAGGACAGAGACGGTTGTTGGGGTTGATGTAAGCTGCTTTGCGCCAAAATAGCAGCATCCAGCTGTATACTCCCCAGGGAGCTGAGATTGTCTTTGGAATGTTTCATTGGCCCAATGAGAAGGGTAATAATGATGTAGCGCCTTGAGCACCAATACCTGGTGATACATGCACTTTATAAATAAACATTATTATTTTTTTGCTAAAGACCCTTTTGAAAACCCTATATAGCATCTCACATGTGGTTTTCAGCTGCACTGGTAAAATTAGCACATGGGAAGGTTTGATTTAGACAAGCTATTCCTTGGATCAGTTGGAAAACACAGCTCAGTAGTTTTGCACAAATTTCATAAAACGAACTACCTACTTAACCCTGGTTTGGGGTAGGCACATCACAAAGAAATGTCTGGATCAAATCGGCTGGATCATATACCAATATCTTTCATGGAAGAAAGCAGTAGAACAATCTCTAAAAATGTTCACAAAACCGGTCATTTCACCTTTGACCTGTACAACTTTGAACCTCTGGTACTGCTGTTCAAAAAATGAAAGTGTTTTGGGATTTAATAATTTTCTTTTTAGTAAAAACAGAAATGGATCAGTCTTATCAACAATACTAACATAGATACCTTAAAGTAGGTTTAGAAAAACACAAAGTGATTAAGACAAATCCAAACCAATTTAAGAACTGGTTTTTGCAATAAATTTCCTCAATGATACATTTGCTTACCACACGACTCCACTTTCCAGATGGCACCCCGCCCGAGCTGCAGAACTGCCCCGACGACATCACCCTATCCACGGATCCCAACGCCTCCACCAGCCAGGTCAACTGGTCCCTGCCCACAGTCGCGGACAACAGCCGCAGCGTGGACCTGACCTCTGACTGGCAGAACGGCGACCTGTTCCCGCTGGGGAGCACCGTGGTGACTTTCACTGCAGTGGACCCCTCGGGATTGACCACGAAATGCCACTTCACAGTGACTGTAATCGGTAAGGTGATATGGGCTCCATGCGCCAACAAAAGAAGGCGCCCTTTTACCAAGCAACGACGTCCCATGGGCGGGACATTTCGCTAGTTGACGCGCACCGTTCCTTGTGTGTTGACGCACGTACACCAGGGGATTTGTACTATGTACACGCAGTGGCCGCGCTTTGCGCTTCTTAGCAAAATTGCAGTCAGGCAAGATGGCGTCGGTCGGCCACCCCCAACTGTACTTTCTTTGCCGGTGTGGGGGTACTTATGAACGAAGCAGACAGAGGTAGTTGTGATGGATCACTAGTCGATGAAAAGTTATCCAGTCTCAAGAAAAGCCACAAGCTATTCAAATGAACTATGACAAAGGCATTCTTTTGTATACTGCTCATCTGCTGTTACTTATGACTGGACTTGTGAGTTTATTTGTAATTTAATTGTGACCACACTGTACTTGTGATGAAATTGACCATGGTTACCTGGCATTTTTTAACAAAATACCCAAAGCTTGTTATTTCTAATGCATAATGACAAGCTAGTCCAAAACAACCCTGACATATCTCAATGTTAAACTTCAGTTTCATTCACAACTAAAATTTACCGTCGGAAAAGTTTGTTGGTAGTATTTTAGGGGCTATATTTTATTGGTTCCCTAAAACACCACAGGAAAATCAATCATTTGCTCAGCGACAAGGATGTAGGAGTTAAAGATAAAATCATTGGCAAAAAGGGGACTAAAAAGGTGGTAAAAAAAGGAATTTACATATCCCCCCACTTTTTTGAATTACCCATTGGTGAAAATTTCACAGTTGTTTCCAGCAACTCTCTGCCCCCTCCCCTTCTCTGGGATCAAAAATCTCACAACGCTGAAATCAAGTACAAATGTTAAATCATTTCAAGATATGCTATTAGAATCAAATTGGAAACAAACATTACATATTTTCTCGAAAAGGTTCCTGAGGAGTATCCTAATGGGTTAATTTCTGATTATTCTCGACCACAGACACCGAGGATCCAATCTTCCCGTACTGCCCGCTAGACTTTGAGAGAACCACCGATGCTGAAGGCAAGTACCAACTGCCGGTATGGGAGACACCCACAGCGGTGGACAACTCCGGCCAGGTGGAAGTCAGCACTACGTATGATTTTGCTCCGTTTGAACTCGGCGTGACGACGCCGGTGGAGTACACAGCAACAGACCCGGATGATAACGAAGCCACGTGTATATTTTTTGTGACTATCCTAGGTAAGTGGTCGCCCTGAATTTGTTACCTGAATAAAGCAAAAAGCTGTCAGGAACTGAATCAGTTGGCAAGCTCTGTTTTCACAAAAGTCCAATTTTCAATTTTCCTCACCAGACGGCACCCGACCGGTCATCACCAACTGCCCCCTGGACATCACCCTCCCCACGGCCCCCCACCTTCGCATAGCCCGGGTCGACTGGACCGAGCCCACAGCAGAAGACAACAGCGGGTATGTGCGACTGACACCCAACCTGAGTCCTGGGGGTAGCTTTCCTCTAGGCAAGACGAAGGTGGTCTACACGGCCACTGACGCCGCAGGACTGAGAGATAGGTGCCGGTTTACTGTAACCGTGGAGGGTAAGGATAATGATTTGCAGTTACGAAGCTCATTACGTAGGCCTAATTAATGCTAGAAAATTAAATCCAATTTGAAAATATATTCTATACAGAGCCATACTTCAAAAGCATGGACATATTTTTTTATCGCCTGGAATAATTTTTTTGATGAGTGTTCAAACTTTAATCTTGACTTCCTTCGTAATTCTGTTCCAGACACCGAAGCCCCCGTATTCGATTCCTGCCCTCAAGACATCATCAAAGAGACCAATGCGAATGGCAAGTTCGACTACCCTACGTGGTCCTACCCCCACGCCGTGGACAATTCAGGCGTCACCCCCGACATCACGACCACCTCCAGCTTTCAGGTGTTTCCTCTAGAGGAGACCACGCCCATCGAGTATGTTGCCACAGACCAGGCTGGGAATACAGCAACGTGTCAGTTTTATATAACTGTCAGAGGTAAGGCTAAAGCTGGCAAGGCTAACTATGCTACATCCAAGAAATTCATTCTTATGAGCTTCTTTTTGTGTGTGTGGATAAAACAAAGGCATCACAAGTCATTCAAAGTTATCACAAGTCATCACAAGTTATCACAAGCCACCACAAGGCATCACAAGCCATATCAAGTTATCAAACGTCATCAAACATTATCACAAGTCACCACAAGCCATCACAAATTATCACAAGTCACCACAAGGCATCACAAGGCATCACAAGTCACCACAAGGCATCACAAGCCATAACAAGTTAAGTCATCACAAATTATCACAAGTCTCCACAAGGCATCACAAGGCATCACAAGTCATCACAAATTATCACAAGTCACCATAAGGCATCACAAGGCATCACAAGGCATCACAAGTCATCACAAGTTATCACAAGTCACCACAAGGCATCACAAGTCATATCAAGTTAATTTAGTCATCACAAGTTATTACAAGTCACCACAAGACATCACAAGCATCACAAGTCATCACAAGTCATCACAAGTCACCACAAGGCATCACAAGTCATTAAAAGTTATTACAAGTTATCTCAAGCTACCACAAGTCACCACAAGGCATCACAAGCCATAACAAGTTATCAAACGTCATCAAAAGTTATCGCAAGTCACCACAAGGCATCACAAGCCATAACAAGTTATCAAACGTCATCAAAAGTTATCGCAAGTCACCACAAGGCATCACAAGTCATGACAAGACATCACAAGGCATTAAAAAGGCATTAGATATTCATAAATCATCACAAGACATCACAAATCACAGGTCAATCACAAGTTACTCAAAAGGCAATCACAATTCAATCATAAGTCAACCTCAAGATACTCCCAAGTTATCCAGTCTCAACTAAACTAAGAGCTTTTCAAATTCAATGCCTTTCCTATTTTTTTTCCCCCATTAATAATGAACACTGTTGTGATTTGACTTGTGACTAACTTGTGATTGACTTGATAACATCCTCGATCTCTTCACAGACCGTACTCCACCAGAGATCACAGACTGTCCCGGCGACATCACCGTTTCTATCGATTTCCGGTCAGCCACCGGCCATGCCATCTGGACGCTGCCCGTTGCTTCAGACAACGGTCGGCTGGTCAGCTTCGAGTCCAACTGGAACTCCGGTGACAGCTTCCCCGCTGGCGAGACCAACGTCACGTACATTGCCCTGGATTCCGTGGGACTCACCTCAAAATGCCAGTTTACGGTGACTGTCGAAGGTGAGAAACTTCTTTGGATGACTGAATGTAATAATATAAAGAAGTGTGGTTCTGAAAAGTGTGATTTTAGAGTTTGTGTCTTATTTTGTGTATCAACAAACTTTTTCTTGAGTTTTCTAAACAATCGAAACAGAATTTTTTTTTTTTTTTTGATTTTTTTCTCTTCAAATGTCGGTTGATGACTGCAAATGGTGCCAGACTAAATTTAGTGCAAAATATATGGGAGTCCAGAGAGGCCACATAAAGCTTATACTCGATCGTAACCCCATCTAAAAACACGTTAAAATTGTGGAGCAGCAGGATTCCAGTCAAACCAGTGAGTTTGGCGGTTTTGAGACATCATCTTACATTGAAAACAAAAAAAATCATTTTGGTGACGCGCATGGATACGGCGACGCGTGCGCATACCAGAAACCGGAGACATTTTTATTGGCCTAAAGTGTTGAAGTGTTTTAATAGGGTACATGTAGGTGGCTTACATTTCGAAGTCAACACACACAAAAGACCAAAGGCATTAAAAAGCAAACAAAGACATTATTTTAAATAGGGAATTCATTTTTCCCCCGAAAATAATTAATACAAGTAATAGAGGTGATCAGCCACCCCTACATCCACCTTTCCAATTGGCCCAGAATCAATGCTTGCAGGTTTTCTCTTTCATATAAATGAAGTTGTTTTCACCCTTATTGAAGCGAGATGCAACTTATCCCTCTCCACCCCTGCCATGAGGAACACGTACCAGTACCGCTTTCCCTTTCCCATCGCCCGGCCGACAACTGATGACTCTCCGACGCCTCTCCAATTCGACTTTGCTGTCCGTTCAACTGGAACGGTCTTCGTCGCCCTGACTGAGGCTGAGCAGAGTACCGAAGTCTATGAGATAGGTAGGCTGAAAATAAAGACACAAAATTTGACCAAAACAATAATTTAAAAATTGCATTAGAGATGCAACAATCATGCTGGCATTACAGGCTTCCGTTATCATAATTATGATTTCTTGTGAGTAAAGTTTCTTGGGCTAGTGAGTAAAGTGCTTGCCTCTCACTACTATGGCCTGGGTTCGATTCCCAGCCAAGTAAGGATGAGCTGAGTAAGGATGATGATAGCCCCTCAAAGTATTGAGACCGAGAATGAACACTTAACATATTTTAATAAAGAGATGCAAGATTCTCCCTGATTTTTGTAAACCAAGAACACCCAGTAAGAGTCATTGCTGGATTTCTCTTAAATTCAAGAAAACCGAGCGACAGATTATTAATTTCAGCTCTGCAATTCACAAGCCCGATTTCTTGAAACACGTACCTTTAATTTTGTATCGAAAGCAACTCGGTGTCTGTTAATTTTCAGGTCTAGGAAGGAGCAAGACGTTCATCCGGTGCGGCGTCCAGTGCAAACCCCACTACATCACCGTCAAAGTGCCCCACCTGATGTCCGCCACGAAGTACCGGCACTTCTGGGTCACGTACGACGGCACCAGAGGGCTGGTCCGAGTAGGCAGAGGGAAGGAGGCACCATTCATGGAATGGCAGGATCCGTCCTCCACCCCTCTGGACGTTCAACGGCTCGGGATAGCGTCCTACCAGGAGGCGGATTGGAAGGGCTACCTGTGCAGAAATGGTACCAGTCGAGGGATGGGTTGGTTATAACACAATGTAACACTCATGCTATAATAGACTATACCATGGTATATTTCAACACCAATGCACTATCCTTATTCCTAAATAACACTTGCACGTTTTCACTTGCTTGCAATACCAGTTTAAAAATGTATGCATTATTTGTAGAGGGTTTATGTATTGAAAAGTATTAATATAAGTACTTAATACCAGATTTCTTGCAGTTATTGCCAGATCACAAGTGAGATGCTTTGAAGTAATATATAACTATTTCAGCTAGCAAAACAGCTGAAGCAGAAAAAGAGTTATCAGAAAAAGGTACTTTTTGAGCAATGAATAATTGTCTATATTACACTTTTGCCAAATATCATTTAAACTTCATTGTTCATGTAGATGTGTACTTACATTGTGATACCTAATCCTTCACATTTGCTTTTAAATTTGTACTTTTGTGTCTAAATCTATGTGTAAGTTTAAATAAGTTCTTCTCTTATGATTTCATCCTTCTCAAGAAAAAAAACTGTTTTACAATTCACTGAATACTCTCCAAAGATTTGTGTTGACCAAAATCTAAACAACATTTTGCTTTATCAATTTAGATTTTGTACAGAATTGATTGAAACATTTGTGTTAATACCATTATATTGAATGTCTTAAATACTGTATAGTTATATATTTAATAGAATATTGTATTCATACTTGATTACGATATTTAAATTTGTGCTAAAACTTTTAAGAAATTTTGCCAACAGATTCTTTTATAGTCTCTAATGTCATTTGTTTGTCGTTGGCATACACGTTCAAAGTATATATAGCATGCTGGTTATGGGTTATACAAAGTGGTCCACAAAAATCTGTTGTGTCTAATGTTATACCCTATCGAGATTCTGCTAAAAATTTATGAGCATGATAAATGCACTATTGTTTTCTATACTCACTGCTGGCAGTGGGAAAAACCCCAAGTCTTTATAAGGGTAAAACAGAAATGAAAAATGATTTATCATTTAGTAATACTTAAAAAAAGTCTAATACATTGTAACAGAGTTGTCCAAGTCCTTACAAATTCGCAAAGTCATCCAGTGCAAGTCACAAAGCTATCCAAAGAAACTGTTACTGTTCGTTTGTAATATTTTTGAAAGAATGTAGTATCCGGATGCCACTTCAGCGGCTGTGTACAAAGTCTATGGAGAGTCAAGGAAAATTTTCTAAGTACCTGCTAACAAAATTGGAAATGTTTCTCAGTCCCGGATTCATGTCTTTTCAAAATTTTTGCAACGACTGACCTTTATTGAGATGATATATGAACAAAAAAGTGGCGTCAGGTTGCAACATTTTTTCCAATATTTTGATCCTGTTAACTTGTGACGGAGCTTGTGATTGAATATATGTGACTTATGATTGACTTGCGACTGACTTGTGATTGACTTGTGATTGACTTGGGATTGACTTATGATCGACTTGTGAATTTAACAACCCGGCACAGTCAGAAAGATAGAGACTATGATATAAAATGGTTTAAATTTTACAGCACGATTGTATATACCAAACAAAAAAGAGAAAATCTTTAGAATTTTGTTTTCTTCAATTTTTTGCACATTTTATTAAAATTATCACATTGAATATTTACATTACAGTGGCTGTATAATTACCTAATCATCGTTTACGATAAATTACAGTTTTAACATTCACAAGACAACTCACAAATAGTTTGTATGGAAAAGCGCTCCAATTTTGTTTTTTTACACTGTTATAGAATGAACAATGATCAATTAAAGTTTAACGCAATCTAGTTTTGTCATGATTTACTCTTTTAATACCCCATTTTGCCCCCCTTTTTCTTCTTACAGCTGTTACACAACAATAATCTTTGATTGTTGCTTAAGACTTTTGCACTTAAAAAGGCCCCAGCTTACATACATTTCACTGGGGTTATTTTCAATTATTTTAGTTGGCAAGGCAGATGGCATTTACATCACTTCTTGGACAAAATTCCTACTTTTCCTCAAAATTTTAAATGCACCCATAACCCTTCATAGCATTTCGCGATTGACGTTTTTGCTAACTTAACATTTTGTATTTCATTAATGTAAACTAGAAAGGCCCTGTCTTCAAATCTAAAATACTGACGGAAAAAGAAAAAAAAAATGGTAATTTTTCTTTAGTTGCACTTGACACAATTCCTTAACGTTACGAAAATAGCTACTGTGTTTTAATGTCATATTCACTCCAAATATTTGTAATTTTTGGAACAAAAATAAATAAATAAGGTTAGCTGTCGCACTTTCATGTAAAGTTCAAAGTTGTTTAACGGTGAGTTATTGGACTAAGTTCCTGAAGACACAGGTTCAAGTCTTCAGTCTATCGACATAAATGACCTTTGCAAAAAAAAGTGACCAAAACAGGATTCGAACTGGAGACCATTTGATGAATATCTTAAGTCTATTCAACCCGGCTGCATTAGATTTCCCAAAAACTGAAACATTTTTGCTATGGGAATTAATAAATAAATCCACAAATGTACAAAAATGCCTGCCAGTGTTTAAACCTAGAGGGCGCTTCAAATGTACCCATGTGACATCATTAATACAGTGTATAACTCACACCTTATTTAAAAGGTTCCATTTTTTTTGTACAACAATGCATGATTCTACTATGACGACAGTGACACATATTTTTAACATTTTAGCTTTTTTTCTTAAAAGGACAAATTCAACAACACGATCACAATTTTCCAGTCACAAGAAACAGTACAAGTACGGCCTACACTATTGGTCCAATTCTAGCATTGATTTTAAAATATCATTTATACACAATTGTAAAAAAAAAAAAAAAAAAGTCAAGATTTTTTTTTTTACATCATTCATTTTTAAAATGTGCATCTTCTTTAACACGAATATAACGTGTACTTAAAACGCAGACAGGGGCTTGAATAGCAACCCCAAAAATTATAAAATCAGCAACAGTTTTCATTTTTTGTTCACCCAAATACTGACAAAATTTACCAATTCTTACCTACTATTTTTGTGTTTGATGTCTTGAAAGGATAAAAGTAAAACAATTGTGAAGCTTTTTTAGCGGGCTAAATTTCTTTTTTTTTTGGAGATTTCATTTTGTTTTGCTCATTACATGCTGCAGTTAACATCTCCCTTTAACTCCTTATTTTTAAATAAAGTATCTGGGGGGAGTAGGTTGAATAAAAGTACTCTCATCTGAATATATAAACATACAGAATATGTTACTTGCAAAAAACTTGGTGGGTGACAAATTAACAAGAAGGAAAAATTAATAAGATGAGAACAAAACAAAAAAGTCTTTGTAAAGTTACCGAACTATACAAACTTGTGCATACAATTCACATGCACATCGTGCGCATATATTACAGGCGCATGTTACCATAAATTAAAAAAAAAAGATTAATATTATTTCTAATCAGATTCGTTACGAATACAACTACTGCTTCATATCTACAAAACAGGCGCGGATATTTTTAAAATCTAAACCTGGAAGATCTACCGAGGAAAAGTTGATATTTAAGGAAACAGCTGTGGACAGGAAAGGCGGAGCTTTTCCCATTTTCTCCGCTCCATAAAAGCCCCACCCCTTTCCAAAAAAGCCCCACCCCTTTCCAAACCACACCCCTTTTCAAATTCCCACCCCTTTCCAAACCACACCTTTTCAAAGCACCCCTTTCCAAGCCCCATCCCTTTCCAACCCACAACCCCTTTCCAAACCACAACCCCTTTTTCAAAGCCCCACTTTCCAAAACCACACCCCTTTTCCAAAGCCCCACCCCTTTCCAAAACCACACCCTTTCCAAAACCACACCCCTTTTCCAAAGCCCCGCCCCTCTTGAAAAGCTGTAAGACAATACACTTTTAACAACCTTAATACACTGTGAGACACAACAAAACATCTGAGACAGTTTATACAAAATATTTCCTTTTTTAAGTACAACCTTTCTCTAAGGAAAATGTTTCAAGAAGATCGTCAGTTTTTCATTTTCATCAGATTAACATACTTTCATTGCAAAAAATGTTCTGTACATCTTAGCATCAAGTTCAGATTAAAGCAACGTTTTTGGGTATTGATCACTCGAAACATAATTTTATTTGAACGACCAAATTTGGACTTTTTTGGCTTTTGACTTGAAACGAAACAACACATTAAAAAAATATGGCTTGAATTTTGTACAAGATTTCAATCTCTTCAATACACACAGTACAAAAATCACATTTCAAATTGGAAATTTCGTGAAAATCATCCGTGTTTTAAAACTTCAATTGAAAAAGTATGCTTCATTGAAAATGGTCACTGGGTAAATTAATACTTTGATTATAATGTCAAGAACCATTTTAAAAGCCCCGAAATACATGCTTTAACCCGAAAAATGATCACTAACGCTTTTACCCTGAAAATGAATTGCACCACTTTGTGCAAATTCGAATCCAATGTCACGGAAAACAAAATCATTTACTTTGACACAATAGACAATATGACAACATTATAAACAATGTCTTTTTCTACTAATTGTTCTCTATCTTAACAATCTCAAGCAGATTCTAGTAGTAAAGACGTCGACGGCTAAGCACCAAATGCAGTAAACGTTGTCAATTGTCGGATTTTCACCAACCCGCATTGAAACATATAGAATCATATGTTCAATTTGACAACTTTTGTTTTAATATCTAGGAAACTGAAAAAACGACTGTACAAAAACAACTACACAACTCACACTACGGACCGACGAACAGATTTCATGGAATTGAGAGATGCAGTGAACTATAATGATCGATATTTCCCAAAATGGGCTTTGCTTTTCAATTGGGCAATATGAAGCAGTCGAACCAATTGCATGAAACTGGGAGACAGCAATCTACAGTGATCCATACTTTCCAAATTGGGTACTTGTGATCAGTTGGGCAAGAAATCAGCTATTGAAGGAAGCTCTACACTTTGCAGTTGGGTAGAGGCTTACGTGTTAACAATACCCTAAGGTCAAAGTTCAAAGGGCACACTGACAAACAATTGGGCATTATTAATCAATTGGGCAATGAATCTTCCTTTTTACCTGGCTTGAGAAGTTGGGCAGTGGTATCCTCAATTAGGATAAATCTTACAAGATAAAGGTCGAAGTTCAAACAGCACACTACTAGAGAGTTTTCAGAAGCGTTATTTGTTTTGAAGTATGCGGTTTGCCAAAAAATATACTTTAGTGGGATTGTTTTGTAAAACGTTGTGTCCAATTTCTGAACTGGGCTTGACTCAACTGCGCATTTAATTCTTAAAATGCAAAACTTTCAATTGACCAATCAGAGAACAAGTTATATGAGCGCTGTTCCACTATGCCCCGCCCTCAATGAATAGCTGAATACATTAGTATACAGCAGTGACAGGGTGTTTTTTTTATCAACCAATGAGAGTTCACCTAGTGCCTTGAAGGCGGGGCCAAGTGAAGTTTTGCATACTTCCTCATGCCACTCACAATGTGCAGAAGAGTCTACCACTGTTCACTTATGTGACATCATTTCAGTTATATTTTCATGTTCAGATCAAAGACTAAGACAATTCACACTAGTCTAATAGACTTCACAAAACATTGTGACATACATGTACATGTTCATTACAAAAACAAAAGGAAAAGTCAATTGATTGTCATAAATATACGCAGTTAACTATTTACATATTTCTATGGAAACGTATATATATATATACGACAACCATAACTACGTGTACATGTACACAGGTTTTTGACCTGCAATACATTACACATGGTTTATATAACATCAATTTTATGGATACCTTTTTGAGTTTTAAAAACGGAAAGTTTATGTAAAAAGCATAATAAACGAACGTAGATCGACGAAAGTAATAATGCTTCGCAAGTTATTTCTAGGATTTCAATATTTTGAACACTGTAAAAGGGTGTAAAGTCTGGACCAAAGAAAAAGACTGGATAAACTATAATAAGAATGAAAAATGAAGATACAAAATTTTGGTCATATTTACAAGAGAAACTCTCATCACCCTAGCAACAGATCTGAAATAACAAAAAAAATTGGGGAAAATGAGTTGTTCGTGAAAATCTCAATAATGTCTTAGAGTTAAAAGTCGTTTTCGAATTGTTTGTAAGAAAAAGGAAGAAAAAAATGGGAAACTATTTTGGTTTTTTTTTGTAAGGCCAAATTTGAACTTGGGTAAATGTTGAATGTCGAACTGAAAATATGCTGAATTTTATAGGTAAATAATTTATGGAAGGAGGATTTAGAATATTTCTGAAGGGTTCACCATTAACCACTTATATTGACCCTGGTATTTTAAATAATATAAGGTCGGTAATAAATACATTTCGCTTAAAAATACACGTTCGTTATAAATATAAATTCTTTACAGTAAGTGGATACTTTCTTAAAAGTCAAAACACTTCGGGAGTTGCTCGCTTTCAGCAAACCGTTAAATACTTACGAGGAAAGTTTAGAGGGACGTTTTGCAATAAATAAACAACATAAATATTTTTGAAAGGCGCAATGTAAAATATCTACACAGGAATATAATTCCAAAGGGAGGTTTAAGAAAATAGCGCAAATGCAGTAAATTTGTTTTTTTAATAATACTGTTTCAAAACGTCCCATTTTCGAGACACAATAAATACAACACGGTGTAGGTTGGGTGGTTTTAACTTAAGTCGACTCAGTGACATGATTTTCCTTTAAACGGCATAAAAAGTTTTTAACAGCTTTTAATATTAAAATTATATTTACAAGGGAAACGGTGAATAAAAGGCTGCAGCAAAAACTACCCAGATTCGGCACAAATTTCACAAGTTTGGTGACGCGCGTTTTCAGTTTCTACCGAGATCAGGTGCAAAATGAATTAATTCTTGGAGTTGTTTTCTAATTTTTTTTACAATAAATATGGCAACTTTGGCAAGTGTGACTTAATATTTTCATATTAAGTGGCAAATTTCTTTTTAATTTTCAATAAATATGAAGAATGAAACACTTGTGCTTTCTGGAGCATTAAAGAAATAATATTTTTGTCTCAAACAAAAAATTCCTTTTAAAAATTGTAGGACACATGATTTGTGAGTTTTTTTGATAATGCTATTGAGAGAATTTTAATAATGTCAAATAAATTTTAAAAAAACAACATTTTATTGAATTTGTAGTGACCCTGCAATATGCACAGAATAGCAACAGTCAGTGCGGTATTTTCTGCGAAGTAGCGCTATGTAACTCGACATGGGTGTTGATATAACCAATCTTTTAAATGGTTTGGGGGGGGGGGTTACCATACTACCCTAGGTATACGTAACTTCCGTCTTGACGACCACTTGTTCACTGGTGTCCGTCTCCTGCGGGCTACCGGCGTCGTTGACGGCCTTCAGTTTCTTGATGGTGTTCTTGAGCGCCTGTCGCTTGTTGCAGAACCAGACTCGGATGACCTCCCGTTCGTAGTTGATCTCTGCCGACATCGCCGTCATCTCAGCGCCCGACGGGTGGGTGTTCTTGTCGAACTGTACGCTCAGGTACTCCAGGGCCTGCGGGGTGAAGGAGGTCCGGCGCTTGCGCTTCTTGGTTGGCTCACTACTGGAAACAAGAACCAGAAACCAAAATATTCGAGTCAAGGCACCCGACTATTGAGCCCTGCTTCCACCTGCAAATGGATGGAGTTTAGAGTGTTTGGAATATTAGTCCGGTACACTTTGTGCAAGATTTTAATAATGTTGTGCTTATACTGGGCCTTATACCAAAGTCTCAAAGTACTTTATAATTATTACCCCTGTGCATCAGGCTATGAGACCAGTTTTCTGCAGCAGCTCGAGATCAGCGCAATCTGGTCTCTACCCTCAAAGGTACCCATTTGTACTTGTACTCCTGGGTGGAGAGAGGTCATTGTAGTAAAGTGTCTTGCCCAAGAACGCAAGCAACATGTTCCCTGTCAGCGTTGGAACCCATGTAACATTAGACACGAGTCAACCTCTTTAACGCTGGAGCACTGTGTTTTATCTGGTCTGTACCCTCACAGTTAGAGATTTATACCCATTTATGCATGCACTCCAAAGTGGAAAGAGGTAATTGAAGTAAAGTGCCTTGCCCAAGAACACAAGCACCGTGTTCCTGTCAGGGTTGGAACCCATGTACCATCGCACATGAGTTAAACTCTTTAACCGCTGGTTTACGGTGTTCCATCTGGTCTCCACCCTCACAGAGAGGTAATTGAGGTAAAATGTCTTGCCCAAGAACACAAGCACCACTGACTGTCCAAACATTGAGATTTGTCCAACCTGCCGATGTAGTCGGAGAGCTGGCTCAAGCCGTTTTTGTGTCTCTCCTCCGCCTCCTGCATCCACCGCTCCAGGACTGGCTTGATCTTCTGGGCGCTCTTAGGGGTGATGTCCAACTTCTCAAACCTGGGCGCAAAAAAAGAGAGACAAATAACATCAACTAGCCTTCTCTAAATAAAACGATTCAAGGCTACTATTCCAGAGCTGCAGCCTGGTGTTGTTGTCGAGACCTTTTGCGACCTCACTCATTTCGATCAATTATTTGCATAAGTGAAATAACTTTGCTGCATATGTGCTTGACAAGTAGGGGCCTCTACGCTGATAAAACCAGCTAGGGGCCTTGACGCTGATATTGGCCCGAGCCGAATTCCCATTCCTTAATACCAAACTGGTCTGACGACAGTCATGCCTTTACCAGGAATCCGTTTCAAGTTCCCTCACCTGCAGATAGCCGACTGGCTGTAGGCCGGCCCCTCGGTGGCGCTGAGCGCTTGCCCCACTTGGGTCTGGGTCAACCCCAACGATAACCGCCGGATCTTGAAAGCCTTGGCAAACTCTTTGATCTCCTCCAGATTGATGCCGTCCACCTCCGTGGTGTTGCCCAGACTGCTAACTGCTGGGGGAACCAACAGAAAGGGGACAAGGGATTGGTGGGGAGGGAGAAAAATTAAGGGGGGCGAAAGTAAGTACGGTTGCAAACTACAGTTGCAAAAAAAAAGTTATATTTTGTCTCGGACTCTGTAAAATCATTGGTCTTGAACGGGCACATGTCCAGTCTATAATGATTGTTTACTTCATATACAGGGCGAGTCAAACGATGAGATCTGCTTGTAGCACTTTCAAAATCTAGGATATGAAAGCCCAATTAATAAGTTTTCTTTTGGTACAAGAATCATTCAAATCAGTCATGTACTGTTCACGTTACCAAATTTTTAACACAAACGCTGTTTAAACTTCTATGCATGGATCACACAAAAAAGGTAAGTGTTCTTTTAGCAAAACGAAAACAAGTTAATAAGTGTTTCAAATTAAATTCTGTAACTTGAAAAGTACATGAGTGATTTGAATGATACTTTCACTAAAAGAAAGCTAACAAATTGGGCTCTCGTGTCCCAGATTTTGAAAGTGCTACATGCAGAACTGCATTAAATAATTGGTCCTGCCCTTTAGGTTTCCTTTTTTTCTGACTCACCCTGTACATGAAGTAACCAGTCATTCTTACAGATTGGAAATGTTCCCGTTCTAGACCAATGATATTGCAGTATCCAAGACAAGATCTAACAAGTTTTTTTTATAACCTCTAAAATCTGAGGCACACTTGGTTTAGTCTTGGGTGTACAAAACTTGCCCCCATCACAGATGTCAGTACTTTTTAGTTAAAACAGTCATAATGTTAAAATATCTATATGTGTTAACAATTTTAGATACTTCTTGGTTAATGCTAAAAAAATGAAATTTTAATGAAGCTGATAGTAGCTTGTTTTAGCTGTTAATTCGGCAGTGAAGTTTGAGTGGAATTAGAGGAATTAAGTGAGTTTATGTCAGGAACAAACAAACAAATGTGTTATTTGCGATAGCTGCTAAGCTAAAAATCTAGTGTGAGTTTATCTAAAATAATACTAACGAGTGATATTCACTATGAACGAGACACGTCTGAAATGCTTTTATTCCGAACAAAAAGTCTGAAATGTAAACAATGGCAATCATTGTTCAGTTTCAGAATTCTGTCTGCAGAACAAAAGCGTTTCCGTCCTCTCTGGTTCCTAGTAATAGGGGTTGGTTATAAGGGCAATTCCACGGTTACTCACGTGAGTAACCGATTTTGTGCATCTTGTTTATCATACATAACACATTTTTCTGGATGTCATCTTTGGTGCTTAAGTAGGTCTATGTCTACTCTATCTACCATGGGGATAACAGTTATTAAACCTTTTCAGTAAGGTAATTACAGCCCAAGGAAACTCAAAATTACATCAAAAATGTAATGTGAGTAACCGTGGAATTGCCCCCAAGTTGTACTCCTTATTTTAGAAAACAAATGTTATTTAGCATAATTAATAAAACATATGAGTTAATAATGTGAGTTAGCTGTGAGCCAAGCCTTCCATGCCATTTGGTTTTGGATGACTGCAGCATGCTAAAGCCGTTGACATGCCCAGTGCACTGCGGTGGAGAGGCCCATGGGTTACGGTAAGAAACACAGGAGCGGATCTCTAGTTTGCTGAATTACTCCTGTACGTGTGGTGAAGTCTGGACACAGGCTTTGGAGAAATGCAGCAATAAGGAAGTTCGGTATTCCAAAACAGTTTGGTGCAAAGCAAGATTTGAAAAATGTTTTCGGGATAACTGCGGCAGATACATAAATGCACACAAGGCTATGCATGGGAGACATGGTAACCAAATCTGCATTCTGCGCAATTTTTCGTGCAGCTGAAAAGAGATGGAACTTTCCTTCGCACAAAAGTTTTGACACGCAAGACACCTAAAAACACTTTGCTGTCCAAAGGTTTTTTGCAGAATGTTATACTTCAGAACACGATGATCTCTTTCAATCTCCTGGTACCCCGCTATGCTTTTGCACACATACAATGACATTTTTATCCCGATGTTTTGATAGGGTAGCCAGTTTCAAAGACATGGCAGCCAATGTGTTGGCCATGGTAGACAACGCAGTAGCCGTAGTTATAACCATGGTATCGAATGCAGTGGCCATGGGAGCTAATGTGGCAGCCACAGAAGCCAGGAGTGCGTTTTGGCGGTCATAACCAAGAATTGGTTCGGTGGTTTCTTGTCGGTGAACTTCTTCTGCAAATTTAATTGGGTTAGAATTACGCATGATCATGTAGTACTCAAATCCCCAAAACAATTAACGAAAGAGAAACCACCGAACCAATTCTTGGTTATGACCGCCAAAACGCACCCCAGTGTGCTAGCCATGGTAGCCAACGTGGCAGCCATAGTTGCAATGGTATTCATTGTAGTAGTAGCCATAGTAGCCAATGTGAAAGCCAAGGAATCCAATGCACTATAAGCAATAGAAGCCAATGTCATACCCATGGTAGCCCATGCAGTAGCCATAGTCAGAGCCGCATTATTGCATGCAGTGGCTCAAGTAGCCACTGCTTATGGAGATGGGAACAGTTAGTCAGAATAAATACTGAACGCACAAGTATTAGTTGTAGCCGCGTCCTTCGCAATTCAGCATACCAGCTGCGAGTAAGGATGATTAGCCTCCCAAATTATTATTATTATTCATTTTAACAGGGCATTAAATGTTTTACTCCATTTGTAAATCATGGGCATCTGTGTTTGTGTACCGTACACCCATGGACCACTTTTCCCGCCTCCAAAACTGCCAAAATACTGGAAGATTGCCTCACAGTACCTTTACCTGATGAGCTACCCGCCACCGTGGCCGTGTTATTTGTGGGCGAGGGGGGCGCTTTCACCTGCGCGGCGGTCCCCTGACTGCCGGCCTGGCTGGTGACCAACGTGCCGCCCACCACGGCCTGGGTCACCATGAGCTGCTGGACGCCGGCTGCCTGGGCACCGGCCTGGCCGACAACTACGGGACTCTGCGTGGTGATGAGTTGTTTGGGTAGACCGTGCCCGGTAAGGAGCTGGCCCGTGGAGGCCAGCTGGCCGGTCAATCCGTGGGCAGCGATTTGTTGGGTGGTCAGCACCTGGTCGGCCGTTGTGGTAGCCGCTGCGGCCGGAGCGGCGACTCGTTGCGTGGTGGTCATCAGCGCCGGCGGGGCCGTGGTCTGTTGCTGGACTTGGGTCAGGGGCGGCGCACTGACCATTGTGGCGAGGCCGGCTGCGGCTAGGGCTCGCGCTGAGGAATTCAAGCCTGTAGATGTTGTCAATCAACAGATAAATATTAACTTGATGGTGACAGTAAGACAAGAGAATTTACAAAAACATACCGTACGGATGCAGTACTTGGCTTAAATTTTGATACGGCCGACACGTGAATAAGGCCTATTACCTGTGGCATTCATGAGCATCTGTGGCAGTGGCAGCTGGCCCAATCCCGTCTGGCTGGCCAGGACTGACATGGAGGGTAGCGGAGTGGTGGCTGCCGTGGTGGTTGCTCCTGCTGCTATGGCGGCGTTGGCTGCTGCTGCAGCCGTGGTGGTGTACTGCTTGTTGACTGCAGTGGTTTGCGTCAGACCTAGGGGGTCGAAAGAGGCTCCAAAATAGGTAAGGGCAAAAAGGAAGGTTAACCGAACCCTAAAGCTGCCTTAAGGTCTACCATGCGACGACACAGAACAGTCGGCGACTGACTTTTCAGGATCAAGCCACGCCTGAGCTATGTCCGTCGGAAACATATCGGTGGGCATGACCCTGCAGATATTGGCAGCCAACAACTGCCCAACACCGGTGGCCATAAACTGGCCAACAATACCGTCACGAAAACAGTGACTCTTAAATATCAAGTAAAACGGGGCTTGGCCAAATACCAAAGAGAACTGATCTGATGTTAGGCTGGCTGTGGTGGGGTTGGAGGCCATCGTGGGTATGACCCCGGAAACATTGGCGGCCAAGAACTGGCCAACCCAACCCTGGCAGCCATAAACTGGCCAAAACTACAATCAGGAAATAACAAATATCGAATCAGACATTTTGTTACAAATCTTACCAGAGAGAACCGACGTGACGTTGGTCTGGCTGGGCGCCGTGGTGGAGTTGGAGGCCATGGTGGGCATGACCCCGCCGATGTTGGCGGCCAGCAGCTGGCCGCCCGTGGTGGGGATGAGGAACTGGATGCCGCCGGAGCTCTGGGCCAGGCTGACGGGGATGGTCAGGATCTGCTGCTGGCCGGCCGCGTTGGTGATGGGTAGGGTCAAGACTTGCTGCTGGCCCGCAGCGTTGTTGGACGGGATAGTGAAGATCTGTTGGGCTCCAGACAACTAACAAACAAAGCACAAATCAATTTTGAAGGAATAAGATTGGTGCAGTGTGGTACTTCGCCTTCCACCGCTGTGACCCAGGTTCGAATCCCGTCCTGGCCAACATGTAGATTAGTTTTTCAGTCCCTGCTTGATTCTATGGTATCATTTTCCTGGAATGCCCTTCCAGTTTTTCCTCCCACCTCTAAAACTGAACATTTCTATATTTCTTCAACATCTTCTCTCTCTGGTTTTTTCAGGCTTCCAAGCTACAGTGCTTGCCAACACTTGGATCATTATCAACAATAAACAACCTCTTTCGAAAATAAATTATGACAGTGACAGTGAAAGGACAGGCACTGCCACACAAAATTAAAATCCAAGTGAACTCCCCTAACAGATTAATCCTCAATCCCTTGAGTGATTTACTAGGAACCTCCCTCGCTCTTGCAAAATCCAACACCATATGGTAAACTCAACACCCAAACTGTTGGACTCTGATTCAGTGGCATAACTTGGGGTGGGGGGGGGGGGGGGGTCTGTGCCCCCCTGGGTGCCCCCCATTTGATATCTTAAATTGCACACAAACAATATATGTGTCGCCCTCAGTGCTCCCTTTGAAAAATATGGTGCCCCCCAGCAACTTATCCCTAGTTACGCCACTGCTCTGATCATGGTGGTATGCCTGACCCCATGTAAAGCACAATCGGTTGACTAGTGCAGTCCTCACTCCAACAGATTCCAACAAAAACATGCACTTGGATTTTGAAGGGTTGGGGGTGGTTTGGATTAAACCTGGTTTAGCTAACCTGGTTAGTTAAGACTTGCTGCGGTGACTGCAGCGTCTGTATGGGTGGTGACAGCAGGAGTTGCTGGGTGGAGGTGGAGTTGCCTAACGATGCGGGAATCGTCGTCCCAAGTCCTGTCAGGAAAACCAAAAAGTAATATGAAATATTGAAGTCACAATCTACTGTAATGATAACAGTTAGACAATGGTCACTGGACTCTATATACGATCGGTAGATGACATGTCAATATATATGATGCGATCAGGCTAAATGAGTCGTTTGTCGGGAATTTTCATTTGGAGATACAGGCCAAAATAGGGCCACTTCATCACATCATTTCATCGCATCTCTTGGTGTTCCGACTTCCATAATTTTTTTAACTAAAGATGGTACCAGCATGTGATTTTCACAGCAGTAAAGCTGAGATTGTGCTCTCTTCAAATCTGCAAAAAAAAAAAAATTGACCAGGGTCGACAAACCACTCATTTAGCTTGATCGCATCACATATGTTCCACTCACAAGCAATAGCAGATGTAGAGTTGGGTGGGGGGGGGGGGGGGGGGGGGGTGGTGCTATCCCCCCCCCCCCCCATTCAGCTGCTGACTAACGTTATGAAGCTAGTAAATTGGGCCAAAAACAATTAACGGAATGCTGAAGTGCCTATTTGTAATTGTGTTCTTGAATGGCTTTGGAATGCAGGAGATATCATCATAGATTTCAAAATTTTCCAGGAGGAGGGGGCAAGACAGAGTAAAGCTGAAAAATTCTGAAGTAAAGGCCAGTAGGGCTGTGCATCTGAACCGAGCACCGGTACCCAACTGCCAATGTCGGGAACCAGTTGCAGATTATGGGATCGGGTACCAGTAAACCAACTTAACAAATTTACTCAGTAACTTCTCAGACAATGAAAAAGAAATGTTTTGAATGCCATTGGTGGGAAATTTATAAAACGAAAACCAGGCTACATGTGCATGGAAAACCACAACAGATTTTCAAATGCGCATTTTGATGCACGACAGAAGGTGGTCAAGACAACTTGATTTGAATTTTGGGTTTTTTGTTTTTTTGCGGGTACACGTGTTTTACTTCAACTTCAGAGTGGAAATGTGTTCAACTATTGTTGCAACTTCTCAAATGTGCAATCGCAAAAATTTGATTTCATCCCCAGTATGAACTAGTGGGTTAACCTTTCAACCCGGAGGCATGGAACTTTTACTTCAACTTCAGAGTGGAAATGTGTTCAACTATTGTTGCAACCTCTCAAATGTGCAATCGCAAACATTTGCATTCATCCCCAGTATGAACTGGCACTAGTGGGTTAACCTTTCAACCCGGAGGCATGGAACGCTTGCTTGGTGGGGCTGATGACCATACCGCTGCGGACGGCCTGGCCTCCGGTGGCGCTCTGCATGGCTAGCAGGAGCTGATCCGACGCGCTCTGGGGCTTGATGTTGGAGGCTTTCAGCGTCATCTGGCCAGAGACCATGGGATCCTGGCAAGGGAGAAAAGGAGATCAAAATATTAATCCAAATCATAACCACTTCCGTTGGAATCCCTCAAGACTGTCCTACTTGGCGCAAATGCGAACGCGAAAGTGAGGTTGTGACTTTCGGACAAGTATTTGCACTGTGAATTTGCAAACAGTTGATAACATTTCAACTACAGCGAATTTTGAGCGAATTTTTCCTGACATCAGATTTACTTTGCATTCACGTTTGTGACCGGCTCCACAAAAAAGGGTATCATGTCGCAAAAAAAAGTGAAATTAAGACATGATTGGAAAGCCAACAATGTAAGCTTTCATTTGGTACATGTATATAATAGAGCTCCATAGTCCCTCCCATTCTGGAGATAAAAATTTGCATATATTACTTACTTCCTTGGAATTCAAATTACACAACTGAGAAAACAGGCTTTGAAATAGCTGGCACACGATTCACACAAACTGTCTTTTTAAAAATTTGTTCATCAAAATCAACATTTCTGTGAATGAAACCTGAAACTGTAGGTATTAAAGATGTCATTCATGATAAAAAAAAACAAAAACCACATTTTGACAAAATGTTCACCCTCTTAATTTTGAGCAGTTTTTGATGCATTAGAAAACCCCAAAATGTAACCAACCTGTGTGCCTGTTATGACATTAGCCACAGTCACAGAGGGAAGGGCGCCGGAGATTGTAACAGCCGGGTCCAGTTTGCCATTGCCAACAATGTGCTGGTTGGCCGATTCGCCATCCATGATCATCGGGTCCAGTGATGGGATTGGTCACTGGGCGCTCAGGCTCCTCCCCTTGGCAACCAATCCTGTGGACAGATAGATCAAGTGGTGAATGTCAAGCTTGAAAAGAGGAATGTGATTGGACAGAATCTACAAAGGTACAAATGTAACTGCAATACATAACACAGTGCAGAAGAAACCTGATGTGAAAATGTAGTGTACAGACTTTACAAAATGAAAGCACTTCTGTGTGTGTACATGTACAACAGTACTGTTGTATCTTGTACTAAACTGCGAAATTTGAACTGGTTGCATGGCTTATTAAAAATTCTCATATTACTAGCCAGTCAAGCCTGACAAATGGGTCTAAGTATCTAGTGTCATCAAGATTAAATCTACAAGTACACATGGGCGGGCCGTCACTGCACTATGAGGAAGTTTTTTATTGTAAAGAAAATTATAGGACCGAGTTTTGGGGACTTTTTGCTGTCCCCACAGCATCTTCGGTCCCTATAGTACCATGGGACAACTCATGTGTAGTCCCCACAACTACGAAACAAGTACATGTATGTGTGTCGTCTGAGGTGTACGTTTGTACTGATTCCCACAATCATTGCAATAATAATGGTAATAATAAGAATAAAACTTATTCATTCTGTGCAGATACCATACAAATGTTCTAATGCACATTACAAATTCAGAACATTGTTAAAAATATGAAAATAAGACATAAAGTCTTCCATATAAAAAAAAATCCACATTTTATAGAACACTATCAAAACTAATGAATCATAACATTACAAAAAGTGAAAATATGTATGTAAAATATAGCAATAATAAAACCTTATGGAATGGCTTTTTAAAAAGAAATGTCTTTATTTAAAGCTTGGTGTTAAAAACTGAAAGAGACTGAACAGACTGAATCTCAGGTGGTAAAAAATGTAGCTAGTTCCATAAACTGGAAACGGCTTGTGCGAATACGAACAACATCAATAATGAAAACAAAATTTTAATAGTTGACGAAACAAAACATCCATTAATCAAAACCATATGTTTTGTACAATTTCTCGGGCACATTGCAGCCAGCAACAATATTTACACATGTACAAGTACATGTGCATGTGTACATGGCAACTGCACTCACTGTTCAATGTACATTGACATCATACTCTGAACATATATCCACAAAGCACTTATAAGTAGAGTACATGTACATTGTACATGTACATCATTTGTCATTTGTGCATTTTTTTCGTTTGAAGCAACCAAAGTGCTCACAATCTAAAGACGAGTGCTTAACTACTAACCTGATGAAGTTTTAGCTCAGTGAAAGCTGTATATTCCGATAAAACAATATTCTAGGATCTCAATTTTAATTCAAAAGTTGCCAAATCAATAATCATGTTTTGAATTGCGCACGAAATCAGCGTCCGGACACGTTCTCATTCAGCCGATTGCAGCTACACAATGAAACGCACTGAACCGACGAATAGTAGCAACCACGCACCCGTGTGCGTCGTGTCAACGCTTGCACCCATTCATGGATTCACCAAATTACAAACCAACCACTAATGGAAAATTCCAAAAATGCGTCACTTGACGAATCTTTGGAAACGGCCTTCCTTTATTATTTTCTTCAAAATGAAAGCATACAAGAAAGAATAATTTCACAGGGAGTTTAGTGTCATACACGTAAATATCTTTGAACCAGGTAAGTGTTTCAAGAATAATTTCGTCAGTAACTTTTTTGGGTAGCTGCAAACGCTCTACTCTACCTTTAAACTAAAATCTAGGATATCCAACAATTCACATTTCTGGGAAAATTTTCCATTAAAGTATGTTCATGTTTTCTGGCGCTACTTACACTGTATGCAGAAAAACAGAGAGAAGAAAGTAAACCCTCCCCTCCCCCCCCCCCAAAAAAAAAAAAGAAGAAAAGACAGAAAGACACACTAAAAGAGGACGAAATTCTCGGCCCTCTGGGCAATTTCAACTATTGATTATCCTCAGGACGTCTAGGATTACCTGTCAAGATGGCACTACGTGTCTGTCAGTCATTCTGGGGCAGAGAGGATAGGGATGTTGTGTGGACTGTACAGTCGGGGAGATGGGGTCGGGGAAAGGGAAATGGACAAAGTGCATCTGGAAAGGCAAATATGCAGCAAGTGCATTCAGTTTATTTCTTAGGTTTTTTTTTTAATACTTGTGAGGCCATGAGTAAATTAAAGGGCCTATGCAATGAAACTTTTTTTTGGAAAACATGTTGCAACCTGACGCCACTTCCGCGATTGTGTACAAAGTCTATGGAGAGTCAAGACATTTTTGTAAGTATTTCCTAACAAAATTGGAAACGTTTTCTCAGTCCTAGAAGAAAACACCTACAAAATCAATGTTAAGAAGAAAACACCTACAGAATCAATGTTACGGAATCTACTTTGCCATTAGACGATTTTCGTCCAGTTCCATAATCGTTATCCTGATTGATATGCGATGCGTGTCAAAATTGCAAGCTCATTGAAAACCACAGGGCATGTAACATGTGGTGTGAACCGTTGTCAGTGTGATTCCGCTAAAAGATGCAATTGCGCTATCGCGAGTCTCCACTTTCCCTCCGGAAGGATAAAGAAAGAACCCCCTCCCCCCCCCCCCACCGCCTCCGCCTGTGTGTCAACTAAGAGCGTTGGATACAGGTGGGAAATTAACACTTTAAAAGCCTTAAGGCCGGAAAATTTCCTCAACAAAATTTAACAACAGTTCTCTAGAACCAACCAATGCTAGCTGTCAATCAGACCGGGAGCAGAAATTGCAAGACGCTACGGTATGTAAATTTATGGCTCTGACTCAGCACTGATGGCTCAGCTGGCATATTGTTTTGCTTAAAGTAAAGTCAATCCATTTTCAATTTCTCAAAAAGTAAATGCACATTTAAGGCCAAGCTAAAAATAAAAGGACTTTCTCGTCCACGCTTTTAATCAAAAAGGGAAGAGACGGCCCTTATTTTTTTCCTGTCAAAGATGGCGGATTGTCAAAGATGGAAATACTGGTATATAAAGAAACTGAAATTCGTTTTTCACACAGCATTTTTCTATTTCTCCCTGAACGTAGATTTTTGGTTAAAAAAATCTATGTTCGTGGAGTTGTATAAAAAAACGTGAACATAAAAAATATGTGTTATTCATCCAGTGTAAAGCCAAGCAATATATTGAAGGATGATAGTAATTGGACACATGGTCATCATTTTCTCAGGGATTTGTGTCATTGATGTATAACTCTGTGCAGGTGTAAATTCCTAATGATCCTAATGGCTTGTCTTGGCACTTAGGGGCCTCCTTAGGGATAAATCAAGGGTAATTGAGCAGGGATCATGGCCTGCTGTTCTGAGCGCTTAAAGGGGCAGTGCATACTTAAAGGGGCATTATCCTTCACCTGGATATTGCACTAGCCGGGCAGAAACCGTACGTATGGTGCATTTTTGTGTAGAAGGGAATTGGAAGGTCTTACTACAAAAAAATGTAAAGAAAAGTTTGACAGGGAAAAGTTTTCCTGTGACAAACTAAAGAACTCAAACTGATATGATAATCTTTAAACAATTTAAGAGCATAATTGCACAGGGTAATTGGTAGCAGTCCTATCTTTACCTTGAGCAAGCATTTTCTAAATGTAACTGTCTTCTTACATGCCTTTAAAGGGAAACTACAACATTTGGAAACATCAAAAAACAAAATTATCAAATTACCATGAAATACCTTACTGGACTGTTAGTGAACAACAGTCTAAAGCATCCTGTAAAATCGTGGCTCCTGGTGTGCTTACATTTTCAAGAAAAATTGTATTTTTCCAACGCTGGTCGGCCGACCAGCGTTGGAGAAAACTAGCTTTTTTCAAAAACTGCTCCTAAATTTTCATATTTAGTTATTCCGCATTTTCTTTGCAATTGATAACACACCTGTGAAGGGGTACAAGCGTGCTAGACTGATTCTCTGACCTAACAATTCCCCAAAGTCTATAAATAGCTCTGTTTCATCTTAAGTGCGGCCAGGGAACCAGACTACAAGAACATAATTGGTTTACTTGGTTTCTCCAGCATCTACAAGCCCAAAACATGAAACTAGTCAGTTTAACATTATTTCCTATAACATACTAATCCTCAAATCCATTTATTGCTAAAATTTGCGGCAAAATCAAATGTTGTACATTCCCTTTAAGTTTAAAACAACAAAATGTGCCAAAATTAAACAAACACATCAAATCCATGTCTAAGTCAATGATGACCTGGCCCACTCAAAACAAAAAGCCAACGACTTTAATAATTCTGTGCGACGACGAGAGACTTGTTTTCGCAGAGCAGATGAAGCTAGTCACTCTCCACGCAGACAGTTCCGAGCCGGCTGTTTATCGTTAGACCGCCAGCCAGGCCAAGCTAATTTAGCAGTCATAAGCAATTAATATTTATGGCAGACCGTAATTACAAAACGGGTCATTCCAATTTCTCATTTCATGTGAAATGCCACTCAAAAACTTCGGAATCAAATTGCGTTCCCGCACATAACAAATTTATGCTTTCCGTAATGCAGCTATGATTCAGCGAACATGTACTGTATGATGTATGCACAGCTTGCACAGTCTTTATAGTCACAGTAATTGCAAATGTTTTATATTTTAAAATGCCAAAGGCAGTAGGGCACACAAAATTAGAAGAATATCTGTTAAGTGCAAGACTTAATCCTTGACACATAGAACACATAAGACGCCTTGCTATGTTCTTAAATATTTCCACATGTACATTTCAGTTGAAATCTTACAAACTCGAAATGGAAATGTTTCATTTTCTCAAATCCTGATAAAAACAAAACATTGTGTGTTTTCTTTGACGGCGCTGCGGCCGCCTGCCTCACGTTTGAAACGCCTTTGTGAAATGTTTGCGTCGTTAATATTGATGTTGTGTCTCGCGTATATAATAATGCCAGAGGGCGAATGTAAATATATTCTCTATTCATGATACACGCTGCACGCCGTGCATATATACGTCGTCGAAGGCGGCTGTACATGTCGTGGCCCAGTGAAATGTCTGCAATTCATATGTAAA